TTAGGTACTGATATATGATTGGCTTAATTAAGCCAATCATGTTTTTCATATGTATGTGTTATCTATATATATTATCTACATATAATATTTATGCACAAAAATATATTATGTAGTATTATTCGTGCCAATCGGGCGGGTTCGGGTTGGGTTAATCGGGTTCGGGTTAGTCGGGTTACGGGTCAAGCGGGTTGCGGGTCAAGCGGGTTGCGGGTCAATCAGGTTCGGGTCAAGCGGGTTGCGGGTCAAGCGGGTTGCGGGTTAAGCGGGTTGCGGGTCAAGCGGGTTACGGGTCGGGCGGGTTGCCGGTCTTTGACTTTTAGTCTAATCGGGTTGCGGGCGGGTCGCGGATCGGGTTGGTTGAGCGGGTTACTCGGGTCGGGTCATGTTTTGACACCTATACTACTGTCCCATTCTTTACAAAAACACACTACTACAATCTAAATTCAAATTCAAATCACCAATCCTTGCCAGCTCAATCAGCCTTCTAACATATCGTACTACCTCACTACTAGTTGTAGCCTTACCCTCATGAACCCTTGAACATCTTTCTTGCCAAATCATACTTATTGTAACATTACATATCAGCCTCCTCACCAGTGCAACAACTTTCTTTCCTTTGAACTGAGTATAAACCCATGACAGATGTTCTTCATAGCTAGTGAAACTTGGACAGGGCACCTGAATCATTTGCAAACTCCCTTGTAGTACACTGAAAGAATAAGGACATAGAAAAAATAGATGGGTTCTTGATTCTTGCCCTGCTAAACACAACTTACATGTATAATCTCCAACCTTCCCCCAACACTTCAGTTTATCCAAGGTTGATAACCTGTTTTTCACCACAAGCCAGCTGAGGAAACTATGCCTGGGAATAGTATAGTTACACCAGATGAGTTTGAACCAATTTACTGGCTTCCTTATTGGTTGTAGATCACCCCATACAATCTTAACATAGTAGTGAGCCATCCTTTTATCTTTCCAAAACACCTGAGTCCCCCATCAATGCAAGCACCCTTCAACCCTATCTCTGACTTTTAGAATTCGTTTCCAAGTCCAGGAGCAAGTACTACCTACTGTTATTGTCCAAAAAAATCATCCTTTATTCTATACAAATATATCCAGGCCACCCACCAAGAACCTCCATGTGTTAACAAGTTCCAAATATGCCTTGTGGTACAAGCAATGTTCCATGTTCTAAGGAACTTAATCCCGAGTCCTCCCATTACAAAGTATTGAACCAAATACACAAAATAAGAAAAAAGAGAGCCAAACATCAACTAAACGAACTACAACTAGTAACCACCCATTGCAGCAGCTACTTGAAGTGAGTTGTTGATCAATAAAAGCAATGTTTCCTTCATTTTCACTAACTGATGAGTTGTGAGACCTCTAACTACGTACGTATGGCCGCCTACATATATATTTTTTCATAACTTACTAATTAACAAGCATAATCCACAACATAGGCCGACAAATACAAGCTTAGCTCGACAAGTAGATTTTTTTTTTTTGTTGCACGACGTGCTCTTCGGAAAAATGGTGCAGAATATGGAGGCCTATCACCACGAACAACATGGGGATGGACTTGAAAAACTGCGACCACATCCTGGTGATTCTGCTGCCCTTTGACTTTGTGTGGTTGTTTGTGTTGTCGTTGATCCGCTCTGGGATGCATCTCGCAACCTTTCATTGGTCGGCCTTGCTTTCTACCTCATTGGTCGGAGACCCGAATTCACCCCTACAGTCTCTTGGTGGCACTCAATCTACCACGTAAGTAGCATGGTGACTCTGGTAGGCAATAGATGGTGAGCGAGGAGAAGGCCAAGGACAGAGCTGTAAGGACTCAGGATCGCCAGTAGCACGGTCCATAAGAAGATTTCCAGAAGATGGAGAATTGGGGAAATTACTCATACTGAGCTTTCCATTACGCAAAGAGTATATACAATTTACAAAGAGAAAAAGCAAAAAGAAGATCTACCTAGTCGTTATCTTTACTGTAAACTATAGACAAATAAAAGCTTTACACGTGTAACTCTATACAGTAATTTCTACAACACTGTCCTTTACCACGAAACGATGTGTCGCCCCACCTGATTCGTCGATTTCCTTTTCTTGTGCCGACCCTGTTCTTCGTGGATCATCAGTGATACTTCTCCGCAGCAGAGCCAACAACCAGCAACTAGCTTGTTGATTCCATAATCAACTGGAGCTTCAACATCATCATCTTCAATGCTGCTTGTTACCCTCCCACAAGCCGGCGGGTATAGGTTATATGCTCCCAGTTTGGACAACTTCATCTGGAACCGATCGATTGACAAACTCTTAGTAAATATATTTGCCAATTGTAATTTTGTGGGAATGTAATGAAGTGAGATCAAACCAGATTGAACTCTCTCCCTTATAACATGGCAATCCACTTCTATATGCTTTGTTCTTTCGTGAAAAATAGGATTTTCTGCAATGTTGATTGTAGACTGATTGTCACAATAAATTGGCATTGCTTGTTCATGTGAAATCCCAAAATCTGCAAGCAATCTGAGTAACCACTGTACCTCACAACTTAGGCTAGCTAATGCCCTGTATTCTGCTTCTGATGATGAACGAGATATAATAGTTTGCTTCTTGCTTTTCCAACTGATCAACCCATATATCTCCAAGGAATGTATAATAACCTATAATTGATCTCCTTGCATCTGGACATGTAGCCCAATCACTATCACTATAGCCCTTCAACTGCAGATCTGCATCCTTAGAGTACAACAATCCTTGACCAAGTGATCCTTTAAGATACCTCAAAACACGATGCAGGGCTCTAAGATTTGATGTGGAGGGACTATCCTAATATTAACAAAGCTGTTGCACAACAAATGATGTCAGGTCTTGTGGTGGTCAAATACTGCAGTTGCCCCACAAGATGCCTGTACTCACTGATATCTTCAAGAGGTTCACCTCCTGAAGATGATAGAACTCCCTTAATGAAGATAGGGGTAGATGCAGGTTTACAGTCTTCAAAGTCTGACTCTGAAAGTATATCCAAGCAATATTTCCTTTGAGAGACTGTAATACCTTGCTTCCCACGAGTTACTTCAAGTCCAAGAAAATAACTTAGCTCTCCCAAGTCCTTCAAATTAAAACCAGAATGCAACATGCTCTTGACAGTGTTAATGGCCTCCAAACTAATTCTCCCTGTAACAATGTCATCGACATGCATAGACTATCAAAACAACCAATTCATTCAAAACTTGAGCAGTGAAGATTGAATAATCACAGGGAGATTGTTTGAAACCATGCTTAATCAGACTCTTTGTCAACTTAGCATACCACTGCCTACTGGCCTGTTTCAACCCATATAATGATTTCTCAGTCTACACACTTTACCTTTGTATTTCCCACTTGAATCCAAACCTGGTGGCAACACCATGTAAACTTCCTCAGTCAAATCTCCATTAAGGAAGGCATTGCTTACATCCATTTGATGCAAATGTCATCCTTTAACTGTAGCAACTGATAACATCTTAATTGAAGTCATTTTTGCTACAGGTAAAAAAGTATCACAGTAATCAATCCCAAATACCTATGTATAGCCTTTAGCAACTCATCTTGCCTTATATTTGTCAATTGTGCCATCTGACTTCAGTTTCAATCTGAATACCCATTTACAAACTATACCATGTTTACCTTGAGGCAGATCTGTGATTTCTGAAGTTCCATTTCCCAGTAAAGCATGCAACTCAGCTTTTACTGCTTCATTCCATTTAGGATGTTCAGAGGCTTCAATATAGGTTCTTGGTTCAACATGAGTAATAAGGGAATTCACAAATCTTTCAAGTCTTGGTTGCAAATGGGAGTATCCAATACTTTTGTGCATTGGATACTGCACATCATAATCAGCATGCCATTATTAGGGCTGCAAACGAGCCAAGTCGAGTCGAGTTTTTGCTTAGCTTGAGCTCGGCTCGTTTATAAATTTTTTAGCTCAAGCTCGGCTCGAACTCGAATTTGGATTATCCAGCTCGAGCTCAAGCTCGACTCGATTAAAAATAATCCAGCTCGAGCTCGGCTCGACAGAGCTCAATAAATGGTCATTAACACAGCTTGTCAAGCTGAGTACAAGCTCGGCTCAAGAAAAGCTCGATTTGAAACCATTCTTGCTGAAAAATGTGTACAAATAAGAACATTAGAAATTAAAAATAATAAAAAGAACATTAGAAACTAAAAATAACATGTAACTTCCATACACATCCTTATTAAAAAGATAATTTTCATGTTCAGAAGAGTAATTAATCCTTCCACAAGCTTTAAACAAGCCAGCTCACGAGCTTAGCTCAACAAGCCACCGAGTCAAGCTAGCTCACGAGCTTATCAAGCCGAGCATGGCCTAGCTCAAGCTTGGCTCGTTTACTAACAAGTCGGCTCGCGAGCTGGCTTGTTAAACAACGAGTCGAGTGTCGAACGAGTTTTTTCCGATTCGAACGCCGAGTTGCTCGCGAGCAGCTTGGTTCATTTGCAGCCCTAGCCATTATGGAGGTTTTACATTTCTGGAAGATTTTATGAGAGGAATAGGAGGATCTTCATGGGGAGAAGGAGAGGGTGAGAAAGTAAACTGAGATGGAGATGGAGAAGAAGCAGGAGAAGGCATTGGTTAGAGAGGAGAGTAGGTTGGAGAATAAGTTGGAGGGCTGGGAGAAGTATCAGACACTTCTGGGGATGAGACTTCAATAGATTCATCAGGTTGTGAATAGGAAATGGGGGTTGAGCTCCCCCCTCAGACTGATGAATTGGTGAAGTCTCGAAGTCAAAGAGATGAGAGAAAGAAGGAATTTGAGAAGAAGAATTCAGCTGGAATGGAAGGAGAATGTGTATTAAGGACATGATGTTTATAGGGGAGTATGTGTTCATATAACACTACATCTCGAGAAATGAACACTTGTTTGGTGTTGAGGTATAGAAGTTTGAAACCCTTGACGCCTGCAAGGATACCCAGAAAAACACATTGCTTGGCTCTAGGGTCAAATTTAGTTCTAGGCTGGCCTGATGCGGCTGGATAAGCCAAACAACCAAAGACTCTCAGATTGGCATAATCTGGAGGTAGTTGATGTAAAACCTCAAAAGGAGTTTGGTTTTGAAGAATAGGAGTAGGTGTCCTATTAATCAGGTATGTTGCATGTAGAATAAAGTTACTCCAGTATAAAAGAGGTAAGCCAGACTGGAATTTCAAAGCCCTTGCCACATTCAGGAGGTGTTGATGCTTCCTTTCAACCCTCCCATTCTGCTGAGGGGTGTATACTACACTCATCTGATGAATGATCCCATTAGCTTGATAGAAGTCATTCATATGAAATTCCAGACCTTGGTCAGTTCTGATTATCTGAATAGATTTTCCAAACTGGTTTTTAACTATAGAGCAGAAAGATTGAAGTAAAGGTCGAGCTTCATCATTATGTTTCATAAGGAAGGTCCACACACATCGAGAATGATCATCAACAACAGTTAGAAAGTAGCTAAAACCCTTGTAGGAAATTGTATTCAATGGACCCCAAATGTCAACATGGATAAGACCAAAAAGAACAGGATTGACAGAATTGCTAGAAGGAAATGAAAGCCTTTTCTGTTTGGCTAAGTGACATACGTCACAATGAACATGTTTAGAAGCTATTACATCAGGAGACTGTTTGCTAATAGCTTGAATTCTAGAAACATGGGGGTGACCTAATCTGGCATGCCAAAGATCAAAAGGTTGAGACTGGAAGTTGTAAGTGGTGGCTGCAAGACACTGGACAGGGGAGGTTGGACTTGGTGTCTTGGTGAAAAGGTAGAGTCCTCTATCCACTTGGGCTAAACCAATCCTCTTCTGTGTGATAAGGTCCTGAATGACACAGTAAGTGGATTGAAAGGTAAGTGAGATAGGGTTTTGTTTGGTTAATTTACTGACAGAGACTAGATTGTAACTAAACATAGGAACAAAGAGGACTTTTGAAAGACACAAGCCACCAGGAAGCTGAACAATGCCTATGTGTGTGGCCTTCACCTGCTCTCCAGTTGGTAAAGTAACATATTCATCTTCTACTGTTATGTACTTGCTATAATACTTAGGACTACAGATGATGTGATTTGTAGCTCCAGTATCTAATACCCATAAGGGTTCTCCAGAAGTAGCAATCAAAATGAAAAGAACAGTAGTACCTGAACTTGAAGGAAGGTAAGGAGAAGTAATAGGTGGTCTCTCTGTAGACACAGCTCTGGTCACTGCATTGGCAGTGTGGACTGAAGGGGAGTTGGGAGGTGATGGTGATGGTGATGGTGACTTAAACAACAGCAGTTTAAGCTTTTCCATTTGATCTAGGGTAAAAATGTTCTCCATTCCTGACTGTCCCTTACCGTCTAAAGAACCAGAAGCGTTCTCCATAGTGAGTGAGCTTTCAAATGAACCAGCAAAAGCACCTTATGTAGCTTCCCTTGCCTTTTTGGTTTTCAACTTGAAACAATTTTTGATCAGATGCCTCTCTTTCTTGCAATAGGAATATATCTTCTTCCCATCCTGTTGTTGTTGACCCCTTCCCTTATACTGATTACCACGTGATGCACTTGCTGCAAGATCAAGGGTTTCAACACTAGGACTTCTATTCATCACCTTTAATAGGCGTTCCAGCTGCAAGATCTGCTTAAAGACTATGCCAATGTGTGGCAGATTGGGCATCATCAGGACCTGTGTCCTTGCTGATTGGTAGACAAGATTCAGACCTTGAAGGAACTTAATGACAAAGTCATTCTCCTCATACCTCTTCAAGGTCTCATATGGTCTAGGATTACAAGGACAAACAGGTATAGGTCTATATCTCATGTATTCTTCCCAAAACACTGTAATATCAGTGAAGTATTGACTGACGGATTTATCACCTTGAACACATTTGGCTAGCTGACCCTTTAGATCATAAACCCTGATGTTGTCTTCCTGACTGAATCGATTTTTCAAGTTATCCCAAACATCTTTTGCTAACCCTAGTCTCATGACACTGTTCGTTATGTCATCTGACAGAGAATTATATATCCAGCAGCGAATGATGCCATTACAACGAGCCCAGGATTGATAACGAGGGTCGGTTACCTGAGGCACTGGGATACGACCATCGATGAATGGGGTCTTGTTCTTAGTCTCGAGAGCCAGTAGCATGACTTCACTCCAAGTGTGATAATTGTCATCTATGAGCTTGATGGAGATGATGGTGGGTAGCACACCATCCTGAGGTGGAATGTAGAAAGGATTGATGTATGGGTCTTCATACGAGGTCATTATGGACTTGTTCTTGTCGGAGGATTCAGATTTCTGATCGGGATTAGGAGAGTCACTGTATGTAGCCATTGTTGATACAACAACAGCTCAAAATGAGGTAAGAAATAGAAAAGGAAAAACAAAAGAGTCCAGCAAAGAGGATGATGGATCTTAGCGCGATGACCAGCGCTCTGATACCATAAGAAGATTTCCAGAAGATGGAGAATTGGGGAAATTGCTCATACTGAGCTTTTCATTACGCAGAGAGTATATACAGTTTACAGAGTGAAAAAGCATAAAGAAGATCTACCTAGCCGTTATCTTTACTGCAAACTATAGACAAATAAAAGCTTTACACGTGTAACTTTGTACAGTAATTTCTATAACGCTTTCCTTTACCACGAAATGGTGCGTTGCCCCCTCTACGTCGTCGTTTCCTTTTCTTATGCTGACCCTGTTATTCACGGTTCATCGGTGAGACTTCTCCTGCGGCAGGGGCAACATCCAACAACTAGCTTATTGATTCCATAATCAACTGGAGCTTCAACATCATCATCTTCAATGCTCCTTGTTAGTCCATCCGACGTGATGGTGTTTTCCAACTTGAGAAAATGTGTGCCCCACACCATAGTCTGTAGCCTGTAAATCGCTAATAGAACCTGCATGCCAACGTATGGGAAAATGTTGCATAAGATAAATTCACCCCATTGACATTGAAATTGTTGAAGTTAACTACTAGCCCTGCCCCCTCCCCCCCCCCCCCCCCCCCCCCCCAAAACTTTGAAATACTTCATGATAGCTAGTATGTTGCATAGTCTGAAGTAGTCGAAGTGGTTGGAATGTTGACTCTTGGTGCTCTAGTTTCCTTTGGCCTCGGTTTGATTCTCGAACATGTCAAATTTTTACTCCTTTTCTAATATCATATTCACTTCCTCCTTACACCCCTCACTGTTATGAAAATGTTTGATCTAATCCATATGATCTTTATTTTTTCTAGTTAAACTGTTATTGTTTGAATAAATAATTAATTGCTATTTAGTGTTTTCTCAACCATCTTTTAATATATTTTTTCATGAACTTACAGGATATCGTGCTAAATCGATTTCATTCTTTGATTACATTGCATGTCCTTGTGACCATAGTTGTATTTTGATTATAATAAAAGATGGAATATAATGCATGAATTATTAATCTATTATTTTTCATAGTTGAATCGTCAATTATTTCATCAATTAATTATGTTTCTTCATTGTGTCATGGGAGAAAATTTTCGTCTGTATCCTACCGGGGGGGGGGGGGGGGGATTTCGTTGGCCATCTTAATTTCAAATTAATTTCAAATCCGGGCTCCGTCTCTGTGCGTAATAGTATATTTTGTATGGCAAAGCAAGTTATGCTGTCATGTTAATTGTTGGATGTACATATATCACAAAGGGCAACTGTCACTAAACCATTTATCTTCTAAACGCTAATTCAATCCAAATTCCTAATTCATGGCTAGTGAAGTATAAACCTTTGTATGGGGCAATCTCAACACCTTATAGTCTTGGATACAATTGTGCAAACTTGAGCTTTTTGTTTTTTGGTAATAATGCAAACTTGAGCTTTAATCATGATTAAACCGTACCTTAAACTCCATCCCAATATTGAAAATGTTAGGCTAGGTTATTGTTTATGGACAACAATTAAAGCTCGAATTTCACATCTGATCTCCCTACAAACTCCTCCAACCATCCTTTAAACTATAATCATTGTCTAAAAAACTCTTGATCTATTTGTCAAAATCCCCTAAATTCATGAATGTAATGGTTTTTACTAGGATCTAAGATGTGTCAATCTATAGATGCACTGCTATGAGTAAGTCTATTAACCTGCTAGGGTCTCGCTGTGCGGTCAGCGAGCCGGGTCCAATGACGAAGCACCTGGTAAGGAACCTCGGGGATGCAACACAATTTATGAGCTTTTACATTTTAGTTTTTTTCGATCCAATGATATACGGGTTCGTTACCGTTACCTCTTTTCTCTCTAGACCGATGAAAGAAGAATGAAAGGAAGTTCTTGATCCACCAATATGCCCGCTTCTTCACCTCCTCTCAAAATTTACATTTTTATTAGACTTCATTGTATTAACAGAATAATTGTTGGATGTATAGGATGGCCGGGGATTATTGACGAGCATTCAAAATTGGGAGTATGAAAATAATTTTGCAAATTTTGAGATTTTGAAAATGAAAACGACTTTGAAAAATTCACCACAAACCCGCTTATTGTCATCTTTAAACTCATGCACGAGAAGTTTATATCTTCACCTGGTTTATATGTTAATCGTTGAAATCTATTATTTTGTACAATATTAATAATTTAAACAGATCAATCAAGTTTTTCATGCAATCCCGTCAGTCTCATAAACCAATCATATGTAACCCTCTCATCAATACCAACATCTATTATTTCCATATGTCAGCCACTTTTTTTACCCATCACACCATGTTATATATAGTAATACATAGTAATTTTTTTCGTACGTTTGTGTTGAAAATTACTTACCATGCATTCATTCATCAATGCCTTCGAATCTAGAACAACAATTTTTTTGGCTCTTTTCTTAGGGCAGGAATGATAAATTCCGTTGTGTAGCAGACTAGCAGCAACGGGAAAGGACAAGAATTATTGGTTTCCCTGCAGACAAGGTCATTTGGTTTGTCGATATGTATCCATTACACGTACACTAAGTAACGTAATATATATATATATATATATATAGCATAGGCTTTCCAATTTGTAGGCATCGATCTATGCACTGCATGTGAACCAACAAACCCTCTAAAAGTTTTTAGAAAGATATAATCAGTTCCAAACCCAATAAGAGGAAAGCCAACACACACAAGACTCGAGAGGTGTTATGTTATGTATACAAACTTGTTATTTTTATGTAAATTAATAAAGTTAATTTTAAGACTCGGTGATAATGGGAGCGTGATCTTACTAGGCACATATTATATCTCAAATTCATCATGGGTAAGGTAAGTGGTTAATATTAATTAGTCAAAGGCGGAGCCAGAAATCCAGACAGGAGCTAATCACTTGAAGGGAGGGGGAGTAAAGCTTTTCCGACTATTTCAATTCTTAAATTTGTGCAAATTTGCATGTAATTTTACCTATATTTCAAAATTGGTGGACTTGGGAGGAGCTACAACCCCTCCTTACTTCAACCTGGATCCCTACCGTAATTAGTTCTAATAACTAGAGATATTGGAAGAAGTCGATTATATGCATCTTATATAATTTCAAGCACACTTCCATCTTGGAATTGTCACACAATGATCAATTAGTACACCCAAGTCCAAGTTGTTTGGTGAGATCCAAACATGGATCTTATACCCACTTCCTTATACACAGTACTCACTCAAATGATCATTTTGCTCAAACATGGATCTTATATAACGCGCAAGGACTTAAAACTAGCATACGCCTATCATATCATGTGCTCAAAATCAACACATTTTTAACATTGAGAGTGATGAAAATTCCAACACAAAACTTATCGACCCAAATGATATTGTAAATGTACTGTGTATGCTAGCTTTAAGTTATTGATAAACATATATTCGATTATCAAAATTTCACCATTCCTTTACAAAACCCACCAACCATGTAAAATTACACAACATACAAGAACAAGAATGGCAGTTAGCTAGAATGAAAAGATTCTTTTTATCTTCCCCTTCTTCTTCTTCTTCCTGGTTTTCGGTTTCTTATTGTTCTTCGCAGAGTATAGGTGTGGTTGGGAATCGGGAGTTGGGTTGACGAGGGAATTAAGGGGGAGGGAATTAAGGCCATGCAGGTTCTTTGGAGAGGAAGGTAACAAACTACTTGGAGCCAAAAGTAGTGGTTGGGATGCTTACTTTCGATCTCTATTCAAAAAGGCGATGCATGTGTTTTTATTAAACAATTGTCGCCTATAGGTGGAACCATCTTTTTACTGAAAAGTGAAGACCTAATACGTATACTAAAAGTCAATACAAAGCAAGAAAACATCAACTGCTAAAAATACCCATATTGTGGAATGTAGTGTGTTATATATAATAGCTCTCTCCATTTCGATCTTTACTTGTGATTCGATCGACTTGGCAACTAGTTAGAATTCATGGACATGCGGTGTCATTGTTGAGTCAGGCATGTTAGGTCAAAGATAAATCATGCATTTGGAGTTTATTGCTCACCTAATAGGTATGGTTATGATTGATATATATTTGGAGGATACCATATTTTGAGTGATTTTGATCGTTGAGTTGAGTGTACTTCGACGAATCAGAATCATTGCTAATTATATTTGATTATGTTGATCTTATGATATTGGGATTTAGAGAATTGTAGCTAAGAGTTCAACTGTTAAAGGTTAAAAGATAGTATCATAACTTGAAATCCCAATTAATTAATGGTCTAAATAGTGAAAAATACAATAGACGTACAATAACTTGAAACCTATAGCCTTTGTCATAAATAGTTAAGGCTAGTGTACGACAGACGTGCACTTATCTAACCATACACTTGTTGAATTTTTTTGTTTAGACCATGAATTAATCAAAGCCTGTGGTATGATAATATACCCTAACCTCTAATGGATGAACCACACTCTCCAATTCTCTAGCTCAAATCATAAGATTTATCTAATCTTAAAATGAAAATCAACGATTCCGATACGTCAAAATTATCAAAGTACAAATAATAGGTTTGAACGCAGGCATATAGCGTACGCTAGCCTTTGTCATATATATATGGTGGCGGCACCCTTTTTGGGTGCTTTCAATGCACTCACCTCATAATCTTCATTCCAAGAAGGCGATTCATGTGAAAATGATATCAATCATCACTTGTGGTTTGATGAACAAGAAACACATGAATTTGTACAAAAAGCATTCAAGATTTACTTTAATTTGAATGATTTAGGGTTTAGAAATTTAGGGTTAGGGTTTATATTTTGGGATTTTGGGTTGGAATTCAAAATTGAAGGTTAAGGGGTTATGATATTAGATTGATTAGTTGTGATTCTATATTATACCATCATATTAAACTAATGCTACCCAATAAAATTCAAAATTTGATGTATTATTATCACTTTTAGAGTTGAGTACATTGAATGCACCCAAAAAAGTGAGTGCACCGAAATAACCACCTATATATATAGTACCCCGTATGAATTTTAGGCTGCCAAATACTCTAGATAATAAAATGCTATTTAGATCTTGAATTGACCAAAATTCGAGACATAATATTATACTCTAATTCTTAAAGATTAAAAATCTATGTCTTAATTATCTAAATCTATACACTAAGATTAATTTAGTTAGAAAAATAATCAATCATTATGATTCGCCAAATTAGATGCAAGTTTAGAGTTTATGATTGATAAATATGATCTAGAATTGACTCCATAACTATAACATCATGTCTCAAAATCGAGTTAATTTGAGATCTTAATTTTTTTTTTTTTTTTACTAAAACTATGTGGTACTTATTTTACCTTGAATATAGTAAAAGCCACCGTATATATTGTCGCAGAACATTTAAACTAATTGACTGCATATATAATTTGCTTTCATACCAGTCCAGCAAATTGTTGGAATTTTGTGAAACTATATAAATCACTATCTACAAATGGTGCTGGAGCTGGTGGGCGCGGTGGCTTCCTATTTCTTTTATAGTGTGTCAGACTCAGACTAGTCAGCTTTATGTCTCCGTCTCTATATATAAAATCGATGCCTAAATAAACTCACGTGAATATGTTACAATTTTACCATAATCACTATTTTTTGTTTTTTGAATAAATAATAATCACTAGTTTTATCATTTCATTTAATAGCTAATGTACCATGTTGACAAAATTTATGCAAGAGTTTGAACCATAATTCTAGTTTATTGCTTTATCAGGTTAATATAGGAATTAAAAACATTATTTAATAACAAGGGATGGGATGTATATATATCTAAGACCTAATAAATACCCGGGAAAAAAAAATATTCGGCGATTCAAGGTTAAATGATTAGATTATTGAACATATTATATAAAAGAATGATACAAGCTCAAACAAAGAAAAAAACTCAGAAGATTGTTTGACTTCTTACATGGTATTAATTATTAGAATTTTATTTAAAAATCAAATTGTTCGAAACTTCGAATATTGATACCACCCCAAATATTTAACGATGAATTGACGATCGAACGACGATTACCTCCATTTTCAAAGAAGACATCAGCATGCAGGTAAAAGTGGACTTCTTTTGTGACTGGTTTTTCCTTTCCGATCTTCAAACCCGCACAACACACTTTCATTCTCTTTGTTCTTCTTTTTCCCACTAGACTAAAGGAAGTTCCTTTTTTCACTAGCCTATCGAAAGGGAGACCTTTTAATGAGTACTCTCCTGATGAACTTCGAAAGTTATTTGTCCATGAATGCTCCATCATCATCATCACCCTCTGCTTTCATTTGGGTTTTCTGCTTTTCACTTTGCAGGACACGATTGGGCCAGATAGTATAGAGGAAAGCATGCATATGCTTAGCTATATTCTTGAATTTAGTCGAAATCGCGATTTATACGTAGAATCACGATTTTTTTTGTATTTTGTGCAATATTATATTTAAAATCACACTTTAAAATTTAGAAACTAACACTTTTATACTTTTAATTAAATCATCAAAACGCTTTTTATATAGATCGTGCTTTAATTTCACTGCATTGCTTAAACCAATTACAGACTAGTTTTCCAAATCCAGCTGATGATGTATCAATAACCATAATACTAGTGGGCTTTCCTTTCTCTATAGCAACACCAATTTTGATTTATGAATCAAAAGCTACAGCATGTTAATTAATGGTTACAATTCATGCTAGCCATTCATAGTATTATGATCCATCCCTCTGTACTAAACTGTAACTCTCAGAAAGTTGAATTATGGGATAAAAACAAATTCAAATTATTGGACATGTGTTTACTCATAAGATATCTGTGTATATATTTGTCTCATTTACTACGTACATTTACAATTTTTTGGAAGATTGTGTAGCCTTTCAACCTCATCATGGTAGAGGAAACAGTTACTTGAGTTATGTTTGTTGGTGGTCTTACCTTGATTTTCTTTTGATGAATTGGTGTTAACTTGGTAGGCGAATTTGAGGATCGACCGTTTCTCATAGTTGACGTCCATATATATATATAGTTGATTTGACCAACAAAGTTGTTGTAAAAAAACATGTGATATATAATCTCAAAGGCTATCACAACATGCGGTAGACAAATGCACGTAGTTGTCATCGATGAAAGAATGAGCACAATTTTATCATCATAGCCGACAAAGTTTCATCGACATCGACATTGAAAAGATCAAGTCTTAGCAGGATGTTGTTATTAAGCGTTACGAGTGTACTTGTGATTATTGAAAGCGGTCACCTTATCAAGAAATCACAATGTTCTACTATAAATACGTCAAGGTAATTACAATTTATTCATAATAATTAATAAAAAAGTTATGTCGAGGTAGTCCATACCATTATACACTACTTATGATGGACATCTTTGTGGAGACATGTAGGTTTGTTAAATTTATGGATACAAACTTGAGAAGATAATAAGGACTATACCACCTTCAGGATTCGTCTCTCCAATAATCAAAGTATAAAACTCTCATATCACATTACATTAGCGTCATATACATAATTTGGCTTCGTTGTTACTGTGTAGTATGTAATCGATGACCTTGACTAGCAAGTAGTCACCGGGACTCGAAACCTATTGGGGTTGTTCATTAAGATGCAACCATACTATAACATTGAACTACAATCCCATGATTAGGGCTGTCTATTTGGTCCGGGTTTTTTGGTTTTACCCGAAACCGGACCGTATAACCCGGATCGAGACCGGGACCGGGACCGGATAGTAAACAATCCTATCCAATCTTTGGGCTCAGATTTGAGGTAAAAAATCGTTTGGGACCGGGATCGAAAACTGGATAAAGACCGGATAAGAGAGCTCAACACCCAAAACTTAAGGGTAATTTGCATAAACGGTCACAAACTTTTGCACTTAGTACAAAACTTAACCAACTCCTCGCCCTTTCAGGCCTTAGACCACTCAAATCCCCACAAACTCAATATAAAATCAAGATCGAATTAGGACCGGACCGGATCAAAACCGGATTGTATCCAATCCAATTTTTGATCCTTATATTTTCAAAAAAACTAGACTGTACCTAATCAATTTGCGCCAATTTAACCGTACCGGACCGGACCGTATAGCCACCCCTACCCATGATACTAGTCGATATAGGCAAAACAGAGTGTAATTGTTCAATCAAATAATTACGAATTCGTAATATTGAAGTTCTCTGATGTACTTATTATTTTTCTTTTCCTTGTATTTATTTGTGGTTTTATTATATGGTGGAGTCCCTTTCCCTTCACGGACGGCATTCCCACTATCCCCATATCCCACCAATTAACTTTTTTTTTTTTTTCTGATGCTGCAAGCTTCTTATTATTATATTGTCCACATCTCTCCTTCTGATCTGATTGATGTTCCTCTCCTTTTTTCGAATCTCTTCTTTTTGGGTCTCCTAATTACTCAATAATTATGGCATGATCATTTTGACTTCTCCCCTATGCCCTAATCCCTATATTAACATTTGTTGATTGTGGAAGAAAAGAAACAAGGAGAGCAAACCCCTCCACCATTCATTCTTCAACAAATTTCCAATTTTTGAAAGGTAATGTGTTTTCTTTTTATATGTGAAAACCTGAAGAAACATTAAAATATGTATATAGTTCAATTAACAAAATGCATTTATTAATTAGCGGAGAAGAAGGATTTTCCAGAGCTTGTATTGTCTCAATGTGGGGCATGTGTTAACTACTTAACTTAGTTATAGACTTATAGGCAAGTAGATCATTGTAATTTGTTCATCGAAAAAGAATAGAAAATTAAAAAAAGGAGAAGAATATTTTCACCTGAAGATAAGAAGAAGAAAAAAGAGGAAGAAGATTCAGAGCAAAGAAATGAAGAAAATTTGCAGTCTCAAATTGATTTTATAAAATTTGTATATGGTCAGAACATGGTTCTGTGTAACATGAAGAGCGTTGGTATAGTTAGAACTTAGAGAAGTAGTCATCTAAACAATCATGGAATTAAGCGGTTCAAATCGTATATACATGCATGTTGAGTATCAACTTATATCAAGATGTGAATGTAGCAACCACCTCTATTTAAGCCCTCCACTTAAATGATGCATGTTTTCTTTATTTTCTATACTCGTTGATATATGTGGATGATGACAATTGCAAGTGTGCAAACCGAAATCTCTTTCGGGCAAAGAATTCATACAAAACCTTGAGTTGTTCCAAAAAAAAAACGAGGAATGTATAAGATCGTTCAATATAGGAAGAGCAAAAAATTATTGCTCTTAGCCTCTCAAAACAAAAAATGCGTTGGTAAGACTAGATATAGAGGACCAAATGACAATTATGATTGTGTCTCACCGACTTCGAAACTCTATACCAACAAATCAAGTAAGTCGTCATGTATCATCCATCAACTAATCCAAGTAAAAATCGCTAAGTAATTAAAAGTCCATCATAAGTACATAGTTAAAAATGATTTTCAAGACGCTCATCCATTAATCTTAACAAAGCATACAAAATAGTGAAGTACATGTCTATCAAAACAATACATGTCTATCAGCTCGATGCAAAAAGTAATCATCGTAATTAATCAAGTTAATGACGGGTCGTAACGAAACACGCAAAGTTCTAATATGTGAATCCTTAAGAAGTTCATCAGATTATGAGATGAATGCATTTCATTTTTTTCCCCCCCCCCCCCCCCCCCCCCCCCCCCCCCCCCCCCATTTTTTGCAAAAAGGAAAGAAATATATAAGGCTTTGCTTTTGTTTTCTTCTTTCCCCCTAGCTAACTTGAACTATAAAATAATGTTTGCATCGGCATTCGGCAATCCAAATAATATTCGATACTAAGAGGCAAGATCAGGCCTTGTTTTGGATTCTAACACACATCCATCATTCACAAAACCCATTCAAAACATATATTCCCTTTCATCAAACCAATAACACAGGCCAGAGCTTGAATTGAGCTCTCTCATTCATTCGCTTTGGAAATGAACAGAATCGAATAGAAAAAAAAAAATAATAAGGGTTCAACCAAAACCCCTCTTGTCCTCTTCCACCACCAATAATACAACAAAGAATATAACAATTAACTAGTGATGGAATTGTTTTTTTTTTAAATATATATATACTGAAAAATTATATAGTAGCAGTACACTCATACGGTGGTCCAGCTGATGAGTCTATGGCTGACTGACCATTTCAACACCAGCCGTGTAAGATAAGGAGAGAGACAGAGAAAGATGGAGGAAGGGAGGGAAATATTCTATCTTTAGGTTTAGGTTTGTCGTTCTGTTTGTTGGTATTTGGCTTGGCCTCAAGCTACTCATCAGCTTACCGGAAAGGCCACCTCTCAAATAATCCTTTTTCTCTCCCATTTCTTCCTTTTTTCCCCCTCTCCCCCATTTCTCTTTCCTCCTCACTATGGCTTAATTAGGGTTGGAATTGGGTTTTGGTTTCGATTAACCGAATCGAATTAGATCAAGTTACCCAAATTCGAGTTGACTCCATTTAAGCAATCGTAACTGTTGTGGTTTGTGATTATATTATGATTTTTCCGTTCTGATGTGGTTATCGACATTGAAGTTAACGATCCATTGGATTTGTACCATAATCTGGTAAGACCTTGATGTTGGAATGATATTGTGGACTAGTAACTAGACTCAGGCTGGGTTTGTGGCTACATGGAAAACCCGAAATATGACATAAACCCAAAACCGAGACTCTTCGATTCGTTCAATTTGAGATTCTCGATTACCTAATCAATGAATTCACTTTTCGATTAGACCGCTGAACCAAACTTAAATTTCAAGCCCTACCACAGCTCTCTCTCTCTCTCCTCAATATGAAATATCCAACTTGGGGACAAGCCAAGTCTCCCCCATGATGATAATTAAGTCTTATAGTGTATGATTGTGGAGTGGTTCCCCCTCCTTCCTTTCCTCTTCAAAAGTTGTAAGCAAGCGACTTTGCTAGCTAGGCAACCTAGCCACTGTTAGAGAGAGAGAGAGAGAGAAAGACTGTTGTTCTCTAGTTTTTTCTTCGGTTTCATTTTGTTGGGATTATGTCTTTGGTCTGGTTGTGGTGGTGAAACCTGAGCGGTTTCTGTGGTGGATGTTTTTGGTTTTTTCCCTGTTTTAGTCCTCCTGTTTTCAGCTCTCTTTCTCTCCCTTCCTCCCTCCCCCTGCCTTCTTCGTCGTTGTTCTCATCCTGGTTTTAGCTCGTTTAAGGTCACAACTCACAAACCACCACCTCCAAACAAACAACACACAACAACAACCTTTCCCCTCTCTCTTCTCTCTTCTCTCTCTCTCTCTCTCTCTCTCTCCATCCTTGGGGAAAAAGCCATCATCATGAATATGCCTGAAGATTTGTTCTCCTCCCACGTCCCTTCCTCACTCAGCAGAGCCGCAGCCGCCGCTTCCTCTCTTCACCTCCAACAAGACCCTCCTCCCAACCCTAACCCTACTCCTCCTCCCGCCGCGGCGGCCAACAACAACAACAACAAGCGCAAGCGCAACCTCCCCGGCACACCAGGCAAGCACCAACTCCTTCCTTCCTCCTCCTCCTCCTCTTAAATATCTAGCTAACCAAACCCACTCAAATGTCTCCCGGTTTGTTATTTGTTGCTGACGGGGTTTGTTTTTCGATCTGAAACCATATATATAGCAGATCCAGATGCAGAAGTCATCGCGCTGTCCCCCAAATCGCTCATGGCCACCAACAGGTTCCTGTGCGAGATATGCAACAAGGGGTTCCAGCGGGACCAGAACCTGCAGCTCCACCGGCGAGGGCACAACCTTCCCTGGAAGCTGAAGCAGCGGTCGAAGACGGAGGTGGTGAGGAAGAAGGTGTACATCTGCCCCGAGAAGACGTGCGTCCACCACGAGCCCGCCCGCGCGCTGGGCGACCTCACGGGGATCAAGAAGCACTTCAGCAGGAAGCACGGCGAGAAGAAGTACAAGTGCGAGAAGTGCTCCAAGAAGTACGCCGTCATGTCCGACTGGAAAGCACACAGCAAGATCTGCGGCACCCGCGAGTACCGCTGCGACTGCGGCACCCTCTTCTCCAGGTAGAGAATTATAATTCTCTCCCACCATCGAATCTTCTCCTCCCATTAAATTTTCCCGACAAACATTCCTCTTTCGACGGTTCTTAATTATTACATCGTCGTGTTAGGTGAAGGGAATTCAATGCTCTCTTGCTCTGCCTTCTTTCATGGCGGCTGCTGTCTGCGAGATCTTCTCGCAAGTCGGTTTGACTTGTGCAAGATAACACAAACAAAAACAAAACAAAAAACGTTTTTTTCTTCTATAGTGTATATATATAGTTATGCCAAGCGCGCTTCCAAGTTTACAAATTTGTTACAGGGCTGAATCTCAGTAGATCGTAATAGCAAGGTCGTGTGTGTTTTGTTACATGCTTTTGTGTGTGTATTGGTTGGTTGGTTGATCTAAACCGACTGAATTTTACCAATCGGACAGGAAGGACAGCTTCATCACGCATAGAGCGTTCTGCGACGCCCTAGCAGAGGAAAGCGCGAGATTCACATCCGTATCCGCCAACTTTCGCAACGACCTGATGAACCCGATACTCAGCCACCATCAGTCCGGCGCCAGCCTATCCCAGTTCCCGAGCATGTTCAGGCAGGAGCTTTCCACCGGCGGGGGATCGGATCTATCCGGTGGCGGCGGAGGGAGCAGCAGCAATCTAGAAGGAGGAGGAGTGCATCATCAAAAGTCTACCGCGAGGAATGGCATGCCGATGTGGATGGATCAGATGGCCAGCGGCGGAGGAGGAGGCAGCAGTGGTGGTGGCAACCCGAACGCGTTCGGGTTGCCACCTGAGCTGGTCCAACCGAGCATGTTCGGTTCGATGATGAGCCCTCCTCCTCCACCTCCACAATGGAGCACAGGTGGCACCGGACAGCTGTCCGGGATGGGGCTTCCACGTGGGATGATGATGATGAAGGAGGAAGACGAAAACAACCACAACAACAACAACAAGAGTAGTAGTAGTAGAGAGCTCCTTTCCTCGTCAGAAACGGGTGCGGGCCTCTACTCCAACAGCCACCACCTTCAATCCGCGGGACACATGTCGGCCACCGCGCTCCTCCAGAAAGCCGCCCAGATGGGGTCCACGAGGAGCAACCCGACCGCCGGGTTCGGCGGCGTCGGGCTGATGACGTCGACGCCCTCGCTGTCCAGCATGATGCCAGCTGGCGGACGTAACGGGCATCTGAACGAGCTGGTGAGCTCGATGGCGTCTGCGGCGGCGGGTGACACGGAGAGGATGCTGATGAGCGAGATGGCGATGCAAGGTGGCGGCGGCGGCGGAGGAGGAGGAGGAAGAGGAGGGGAGGCGGGGGAGGGTGGGTTTACGAGGGACTTTTTGGGAGTGGGAGGCCATCATCATCATCATGAAGGTGGCGGTGGGAACAGTAGGCCGATGATGCTGCAGCAGGAGCTGGCGAGATACGCGTCTTTGGGGTCGATGTCGAACTCGGCGGCGGCGGCGATGGAGCTGATTCACCCGAGTTACCGGTCGTCGTCGTCGTCGGCTGGACATCACTGACCTAGCTGCTGGCTAGTTGCCCTCCCTACCACCGACAGGTAATTTATTTATGATATTTATTTTCTCGATCATATTGTTCAGAATTTTTTTCGTCAAAGGGTTTCCGCGTGAAAAACTGTTTAACATGCATTTTTTTAACGTGATTGATTGAACAACCTAATAGTAGGTTTTAGTAACTTCAAATTTTCTCGTTTCAATAATGGGGAGGAAGGAAAAAAGATTTCATGTATAATTGGGTGACAACTGACACCTCTAGAAATTCATTACACTGTGCTTAGTTGAAGTTGTTACAACATTTGTATTGTTCGTATTTCGTAATGTATCGTTTTATTTTAATTTTATGCATATTGTTTGATATGATAGAAATTGTCACTCAAAGTACACCTAAAATACGTGATTATTAAATCTCATGTTTTAGGTGAGATTGTTTAGATAATTTGGTTGGAATTGTTGAGTTTTTTTTTTTCTTCTTTCAACCACATCCCCAACTTTTTATTCTGTTGCTTTTTTAGTTAAAGCAAAGGATATGGAATAAGCTTCTAATCATGGAATCAACTCGTTTTTTTATTATAGATTACAAATTCGTAATCCTAGCCCATTACCACATCATAAATCAAACTATATGAACTACAATACAATAATTCTCTATTATACATGCATTAATAATAATATATCAATTACTATCAACAAAACCAAATCATCCCTAGATTTTTATTAGTTGTGTAAATTGGAGTTGGTTCATTTTTTTATGAACTATGCACTTTTTCGATAAATGTAAAGTTAGAAAGAGAAAGAATTCGAACACATCAAACATGGATACAATTTGATTAATGAATGCTAGAGATCCATTTCCCCCCTTTTATCTAATAATTTTTCTTCTTTGAATAAATAAATCGAATCAAATGCATTTTGAAATTTGTTTATGGTCCTCATTTTTTGTGTCTTTTTTTTGAGATCTGATTGCTAACTGGATAAGACTATAGATATATGTCGACCGAGCTGTTAACCAAGTTAGAATCAATAAGTTACATTTACACATTCCTATCAGCCCACGAGGCAATTAGACATAACGTACGTAATTACCCATTTTCCCAACCCTAATATTATATATCCTTATCATTTGGTTTTACATCACAGATATATAGATGGATAGCTGATACGTTGCTGCGAAAGGATGGCAACATCGGGCAGTGATGGGTTGGGAAGAAAGAGAAAGATGATGAAGGAAGAACTAGAGAGAGAGAGAGAGAGAGAGAGAGCATGTGAATGTGAATGTGAAGTGGGGGCAGCGTACTACTGCTGGGAGGGAGGTCGGGAGAGTGGCATATTGGCCGGAAGAGACAGAAGAGAAAGAGACAGAGGTGATGCCAATTTCAAGGAAGACGACCCTCTCTTCACCTGTCTCCCTCTCTGTCTGTCTTGCTGTGCGGGCCACATCCATGCAAAAAGGCAAAGACATTTTTCTTAGATTTCGTTTCGTTCTCCAAAAACTTTTTAACATTAGGCAGTAAAAGAAAGAAGAAAAAAAAAATGTTAGAGGACTGTGTTTCTGCGAGTTGCAGCAGGGTCAGTCAGGGTGTGACCACAAACGTCACGAGCTGGAGAAGAAGGTGGTGGTGGTGGCCAGCGGCCGTGTGATCCAACGTAACGTAACGTAACGTAACGTCCTCAAGTGGGCAGTGGTCACACTGAGTAGCTAGCTAGCTAGCTGCTACTGGGTTGGTTCTTTCTTTCTTTCTCTGTGTATGTGTAAGATCTGCTGCTGCTGCTGCTGCAATCTACTTTTCCTGTGGCGGCTGTCACGTTTGTTTCAGCTACATCTCACTAGAAAGAAAAGGTCAGTGAGATTGGACAAGGTTCAACACTAACGTAATCCAACAACAACGACTGGGTTACTTACGCCTGTGTTTGCCAAATTGGTTCTTCTACCCTTTCTCCTCCATTCTTCATAATGTTTCAGTGCTCCAAACAATTTCCTAGTTTTCAGATTATGGTTAATTGTTTATATCGCGAATAATCGCGTATGAAAAGCATAAGATCATGAAGTGCATCAGATTTAGCTTGTTTAATTACTATACTCATTGGAGTGACTGGGGAAAAAAATTGACCGAATAAATAACATGAAAGGATAAAATTCAACGTGATTCAAACAACAAGGGGAAAACGGGAGAAAGAAGAAAAAAAACAGTATGTAACAGAGGTTTTACAGATTCGAAACATTGATCTGGTAGACCTGACATGACAGGCCAAGCTCATGGTACTCACGGGCCGATGGCGTACAAAAAAAACCTCGATGCAAGTGCAAAATAGAATTATACGCAAATATTCGGAAACCTATACAGATCGGCCGCGCCATTTAGCAATCCAATAATAAATAATTACATTACATCAGTAATATTCATATAACCACATTCTATTCAAACTACGTGTACTAGAGCTACAGGCTAGAGCAGCATTTCTAGGGTTCTAGCTAGCTGGGCCGGGTTGAGCTATGTTTATAAGGCTGGGCTCGGTCCAAAATTATATGGATCCATTAATGGAAGATCAGCCCATAAAGAAGGAGGAGATGGGAATCCCTTTCTCGAAATGTAGCTCTCCCCAAGTTATGATTGACAAGCTGCCGCTAGTATATAGCCAGTTTCAACAGGCTTAGGCACCTAAGGGGTGTAGCAAGCAATGCTAAACTAGCCATTTTAGGATAGAGGGATAGCTATTACATGTTACAGAATAGTATAGAAAAGAGTCGTTAGGGGCGTAGCGTTCGTTACTGATGAACGAAATAAGAGCTTGGCGAAGGATTTCTTTTGGTAAGTTTTCAAGTATCGGGTGAGAAAGGAAGTTCCTCTGTCAAGCAGTAATTCTGGCGGAAAATCAGCAACGGCTAGCTTGATCATTTCCAACGGAGCTTTGATCTTCTATATATATTCTATTTCTCTGTAAAGCTCATTAAGGTTTTGTAACAAGAAAGGAGAGTGGTAGAGGGCTTGTCTTTTGGGTTACAAAGGGTATCAACAGTTCAGGGGAAGAGGTTCTTAGCTATTGAGGGTTTCACAGATCGGATTGTGATCTGTGGTGGCTGTTGGTTTAGATTTTTCACTTCGTTTCTCTGTTCTCTTTTACTTTTGCTTGATAGGAAAAATCTCAATAAAAAAGAGTCTCTAGGAAAATAGCAAGTGCTATTTCCGAGACGAGGAGTGACCAGTAGTTTGGGAACCTCGTTAAATCGTGTGTTCATTGCATTTCAATTCTGCTCTTGTTCTTCGTTTTCTGTTTGCTGGAGTTCCTCTGTTCTTCTGGTTTTTCAACTCTGTTTTTCTGCTAAAGGAAGAAGAGAGACGTTGCTGCTCTCTCTCTCTCTCTCGTGTGGGCTTTAAATCTCTTTGGGCTAAAATCAAGAGAGTTCACTGCTGCTTGTGTTTTTTCTTTTAAGTTTTAAGTGTTTTGGGCTTCTGCTTCCTTTGGCCCAATCCTCTTTATCTGCTCGGTATTATTGTCGAGCATCAGAGGAGATTGCCTTCCATTCATTTTATCTTTTCCTCCCTTTGCTTTAGGCTTGGTCAAAATCCCTAATTTCATTTCTAACTCTTTCCATAAGTGGTATCAGAACCAGTACTTGAAGTAGTTAATTGCTGCCAAGATTGATCCAGGCAATGGCTTCTTCTAATTTTGGCCAAGCGAAGGGCCAGGAAAGTGGACATCACCAAACGACATCAAGGAGCCAAAAACCAAATGGGCATAGTTAAGAGGGATATGAGCAACAGCATGACTCATAACCCAAAGATCGAGGGGAAGAACACGATCAAGGGATTGGGAACGAGGAAGGAAGACCCTGGTGAGAACATAGTGAAACGCTCGAAGACGAGGAAGCAACACATTGATAGGGAGAGACAGGGCAGGACTCGGATGAACACCCGTGAGACGAACAAATTCCTCGGCAACATTAAAGTTGACTCTCCACAACTCGGACTCATGAGCAATGGTCTCACCAACAGCAGGAAAGTCTAGTAACCGCCCTAGATCGCTAACAGGAATAGTAACAAGATGGCCTTGGAATAAGGTAGAGAAAGCTCGGGAATGAAGGCCATCCGAACGGAGATTGGAATAAAAATGGCGAACTAGGATGGGACAGAACGAGGAGGAAAACTGGTCAAAGATAAAACCCCATCCCAAACTTTGAATAAAATCATTGATATCAAGAGCAAAATCATGAAAATCATCAAACGGCGCTAGGATAGAGGGGGCAATTGGGCGGCGCTCAAAAAACTGACGATGACGGTGATAGTTGGCAAGGGCAGGTTCAAAAAACAGGTTACCACAGAAAGTGATAGAAAAGCTAGGCTCCATAGCTAAAGAAGAGAAGTACGCAGAAGAAAGATACACAAAAAAAAAACTAAAGAGACACAGACTTAAATAAGCAAGCAAATACAAAGAAAGGAAACACCAACAGACAAGGTAAGAAAATAAAAGCAATAACTCTAGGGATAAAAAAAACTAATTAAAAACAGGAAAGAAACAGCAAACCAACGAGACAAATTAAGGACGGTCATCAATGGCCTGTAAAGACCGCAAACCAAGCTCATAAGATAGAAATGTAAATCTGTCTAAGGGCAAGGGCTTAGTGAAAAGATCAGCGAGCTGAAACTCAGTAGGAACATGCTGCAGAGCAAGAGTATTAGAGGAGACAAGATCACGAATAAAGTGGTATTTAATCTCAATATGCTTCGTGCGAGAATGCTGCACAGGGTTCTTAGTCATGCATATCGTACTAGTGTTGTCACAAAATAATGGAATGCAAGATACAGCTAAGCCATAATCAGCAAGCTGACTTTTTAACCATATTAACTGAGTGCTACAGCTCCCGGCAGCAATATATTCTGCCTCTGCTGTAGAAAGAGCCACAGCCCCCTGTTTTTTGCAAAACCAAGAGACAAGGCACGTGCCAACGAGTTGACACGTACCTGTAGTGCTTTTCCGGTCAGTTAAACTGCCGGCAAAATCAGAATCGCTATAACCAACCAAGTCAAAAGTTTCTTGTTTAGGATACCAGAGACCAACATCTATGGTGCCCTTTAAGTAGCGAAAAATCCGCTTAACTGCAGACAAATGACTCTATTTAGGATTGGATTGAAACCGAGCACAAATACAGACACTGTACTGTATATCAGGTCGGCTGGCAGTTAAATATAATAACGATCCAATCATCCCTCGATACTTCTTTTCATCTACCGAAATACCATTCTCATCTCGATCTAACTTTAAATTAGCAGCCATAGGAGTAGGACTGGAATTTAAAGAAGTCATATTGAATTTGGACAGCATGTTATGAATGTACTTGGATTGGTTTATAAAGATGCCGTGATCAGATTGTTTAATCTGCAATCCAAGGAAAAACTTGAGTTCACCCATCATGCTCATCTCAAAAACAGACGTCATTGACTCACAGAAGGCAGTGCATAGCGCAGTGTTAGTGGATCCAAAAACGATATCATCAACATATATTTGAACAAGAAGAATGTCGTTCTGAGTATGTTGAATAAATAACGTTTTGTCCACAGTACCTTGAATAAAATTGTGATCTTTAAGAAAAGTAGTAAGACGCTCAAACCATGCTCGAGGAGCTTGTTTAAGCCCATAGAGAGCCTTGTTTAACTTATAGACATGATCAGGGTATCTATAGTCAATAAAACCTGGTGGTTGAGCAACATACACATCTTCTGAAATCACTCCGTTTAAGAAAGCACTCTTGACATCCATTTGAAATAGAGGAAAATTAAAGAAGCAGGCAAAAGCACATAATAAGCGAACAGATTCAAGTCGAGCAACTGGGGCAAAGGTTTCGTCAAAGTCAATGCCCTCCTCTTGACAGTATCCTTGGGCAACTAGACGAGATTTATTCTTAATAATGACCCCATCCTCATCTGACTTGTTTTTATAGACCCACTTAGTTCCTATAACCGTTACGTTTGGTGGACGGGGAACCAAATCCCAAACCCGTAGGTGCTCAAACTGAGCAAGTTCGTCTAACATAGATAATCCCCATTCCTCATCATTCAATGCCTCTTTATAATTCTTCGGTTCAAACTGAGCTATGTATGCAAATTGGCCAGGAACATACTTACCTCGAGTACGACGGCCATCAGACAGATTACCTATGATCTGACTCTCCGGATGACGTCTTTGTATATGTACTTGAGCTTTGGGAATGGCTTGTGTGTCAGATGATTGCATTACTTGTGAGGCAGTAGGACTGGAGGAGTGCACAGTGAGTGGATTAGTTGCAGACAACATCTCTGAAGTACCCTCGTGAGTAGCACTTAAAGGAGACACCATTTCTGCAAAATCAAAAGGAGCAACAGCATCTTCTCCAAGCTCAAGAGAAGGGTTAGTGTCATCAAAACGAACATGAACCGATTCCTCAACTCTTTTGGACTTCTTATTGAATATACGATAAGCTTGTCCTTTCACAGAGTATCCTAGGAAAATGGCTTCATCGGACTTAGCGTCAAATTTTCCGAGATGTTCTTTAGTATTTAGAACAAAACACCGACAGCCAAAAGGGTGAAAATAAGAGATACTAGGCTGTTTATTTTTGAATAGTTCATAGGGGGTTTTGTTCAAATGTTTGCGAACTAAAACACGATTCCCCACATAGCACGCAGTGCTAACAGCCTCAGCCCAGAAATGCTTTGGTAACTGATATTCAAGCAACATAGTGCGAGCGCACTCAATTAGAGTACAATTCTTGCGTTCCACCACTCCATTCTGTTGAGGAGTGCGTGGGGCATAAAAAGTATGGAGGATCCCAGTTTGATTACAGAAGCTTTCAAATTTGTCTGAGATAAACTCCCCTCCGTTATCACTCTTGATAATTTCAATTTTCCCTTCAAACAGCATAGTAAAAGTTCTAAATTTGGAAAACGCTTCATCTTTGTGGGAAAGGAAGTAAACCCAGGTAAATCGGGAATAATCATCCACAAGGACAAAAGCATAATTCTTACCCCCTAAACTGGTTACATTGCAGGGACCAAAAAGATATGAATCAGTTCAAGGACTGACTTTGATGTAACCCCTTGTTTAGGTTTAAAACTTTTCTTTGTGTGTTTAGCAGCAACACATATCGCTCACCCCTCATCACTCGATTGTTCTCTCGTCTTGATATCGACCTTTCCTCATTTCGTACTGTCTCCCCTACTATTTATGTGTCTATCGACCAAATGCTGGATGCCCTGGAGATTGCGATTGGGGGAGAGGATCTACCTGCTGCTGCTGCCGCTGCTGTCCTTGAAGTCGATGAGGCGGAGGAAGAACCTGAAGACTTGGAACCAGAGGAGAATATGGTACCTGAGGGAGAGGTTGAACCGGCTTCTGAAGATTCGTTTCCTGCAGATCTAGTGGTCCTGTATGAGACTGATGAAGAAGTTTTTGGCTCTGATGATGAAGATCGTTTTTGACATATCTGTCGTGCCCTGTTTGGCTTGCTGTTGTCCCAGACTTGTTGGTTTTGTTGGTTGTTTTAAGTTTGACTGGAACTTGCTGTCTTGATATTAGACCTTGTTTGTTTTTGGATTTTGCAGTAGTTGTTGGTTTTGGTCTCTGTGAGTTTTGTTTCTGGTGGGTATCTATTGTTCTGTTTGGAGTTTGGTGTGCTGCTTGTTATTTTTGCAGGAAAAGGATCAATCGCCAATCTCTCACTTAGGGGAAGATTGATGAACGAAATAAGAGCTTGGCGAAGGATTTCTTTTGGTAAGTTTTCAAGTATCGGGTGAGAAAGGAAGTTCCTCTGTCAAGCAGTAATTCTGGCGGAAAATCAGCAACGGCTAGCTTGATCATTTCCAACGGAGCTTTGATCTTCTATATATATATTCTATTTCTCTGTAAAGCTCATTAAGGTTTTGTAACAAGAAAGGAGAGTGGTAGAGGGCTTGTCTTTTGGGTTACAAAGGGTATCAACAGTTCAGGGGAAGAGGTTCTTAGCTGTTGAGGGTTTCACAGATCGGATTGTGATTTGTGGTGGCTGTTGGTTTAGATTTTTCACTTCGTTTCTCTGTTCTCTTTTACTTTTGCTTGATAGGAAAAATCTCAATAAAAAAGAGTCTGCTCTTGTTCTTCGTTTTCTGTTTGCTGGAGTTCCTCTGTTCATCTGGTTTTTCAACTCTGTTTTTCTGCTAAAGGAAGAAGAGAGACGTTGCTGCTCTCTCTCTCGTGTGGGCTTTAAATCTCTTTGGGCTAAAATCAAGAGAGTTCACTGTTGCTTGTGTCTTTTCTTTTAAGTTTTAAGTGTTTTGGGCTTCTGCTTCCTTTGGCCCAATCCTCTTTATCTGCTCGGTATTATTGTCGAGCATCAGAGGAGATTGCCTTCCATTCATTTCGTCTTTTCCTCCCTTTGCTTTAGGCTTGGTCAAAATCCCTAATTTCATTTCTAACTCTTTCCATAGTTACCCCGCTCGAAGGGATAGAGGAAGCCTGTGTGTAATATATAGTAAGGGAAGGAAGTTCTTTTTCTAACTAAGTAGCTAAGCAGTGCCATGGGGACTACGATAGACCGATGCCAAGCAAAGCAATGCTATCCTTCTTGTTCTAATTAAAATGCGAGCAACTTCATTCCTCTCCTTTCTTTAACCAAACCAATTGAAGTGGATCACCTATAAAGAAGATTGGCCCTCTCAATAAGAGAAGACGTAATTTACTTCAATTTCTGAATGAATCCCGGAGTGTAGAACCATAGTAGCAATTCTTTTTATTGGTTCGTTGGTACATTAGTTTCATATGTGTTTGACAAGTCTATTTGCTTTATTTGGAGGTCTTATTGGGTGAATCACACTAACAAAAAAGTTTCTGTCACATTCTTTGTCCACGACAGATTGAGTAGTTTCAACGATTATTCCAATCGTGGTAGAGAAATTCGCTTGAATTTGACTTTTTATGTGTTGGGGTCTTGAGTCCACCAACATATTTTGCCAAGCCAAACTTACGTATCACAATTTCCATACTTCTGACCGGTTTGATGTAAGACTATTGTTACAAAGTCATATTTAACCAACTCAATAGTGTTGACTAAGTTCATCTCGGTGTACTCATATTGACGATGTTGGGCGTGACGCACGTTATTAACTTATTATTACCATGCACAAAACAAATCAATAACATGACAATATAATAATATATAGACGTGAAATACAGCAACAAATACAATCACGGATTGGTTACAATACAATTCCCAATCTTTATTCTCCGATCATATAAATCACACGGTCAAATCAAAATGCAACAAGTTAAAGCTACAGAAATCACTCCCGCAAACACAGCAACAACAACAGTACTACTATGAACAACAACCGCCCCATTGGAGCGTTTCCCGCCAACCCCATCATCATCATCACCGCCGTCGTCACCGCTCTCATCATCCCCGACGTCACCACTCTTACTCCCTTTCCCCTTGGCCGCGGCGGGCGCCGGCGACTGGGCCCGATCCGGAGCCCCAAAGATGGACATGGGCTGAAGCACCTTGTCCACCTGATAAATGGCCAAGTGGGTGTCCATATAAACGGTGTCGGATAGAGTAGTATTAGTCACCCCGGTCTCCAGACTCACGGGCCCACCCGGCCCTCCGCCCGTCGACGTCACGTTGAGCTGGAGCAGGTCGCCCGACCCGGCGTGGGTCTGGACCGGGTTCCCGACCGAGTCGAAGCCGGACCGGGAGATGAAGACCGGGACGATGTGGAACTGCGCCAGCTGCAGCTTCTCCTGCCTGGTCAGCTGCCCGAGGGTGCCCGGCTTCAGCTTGGCGAAAGCGGCGTCGTTGGGGGCGAAGATGGTGATGCCGTTGTTGGAGTCACCGAGCTGGTTGTTGAGGTTGCTGTCGAGCTGCGTCGTTTTGAGGAGGCGGACGAAGGACTTGAAGGTCTTCGCCTTGGTCAGGATCTTGACCACGTTGATCGGGCCGAGCTTGGCGGCCGCGGCCGCTGGGCCCGGCGCCTCGGCCGGAGGCTGCTGGGCCAGCGTCGGGCCGGAGATCAGGACGATGGTGAAGAGTGAGAGCAAGAGAAAATGTTGCTTCGTGATCGACACCATTTTTTGGGTCACGAATAGATAGATGGAACATGGAAGTGATTGGAGCAAAGAGGGGAAGTTGGTTATAAAGGGGAGAGGTGAGAGAGTGTGATTAGGAAGGAGTGTTAACTGTTAGGTGCGGTTGTTACATATAATAGAACATCTGCGGGGGGATATAACAGTACTAAAACAAGGAGTGGTTAGAACGTGGCTAATTTTTTTTCATGGAAAATTTTGCAGTTGGAGAGGGATGGAACCTTAACTAACTGTATTACTGTAATGGTTTTGCTTAGAATGGCGGCAAAAGTGAAGTTGCATGGAGGTGGCTTGGGAAGCAAATTTTAACCTGGATTAATTGGTAGCTTTTTTTACGTGCATTAATGGTGTAGTAATACGCTCTCGAAAGTTATAGGTTTAAAGTTTACAGAGATTTGAATACCAAATTTACCAAATGAGATTATCAGGATTTAAAAAGAGATCTCTTGATTAAAAAAAAAAAAATTTTGAGACCCAACCAGCTGATTGTAATTACCCAAACTATTGGGAGTAACCCGTTGTTCGCGGCAGTAATTGTACTGTGGTTTCTAGAATTCGTTGAAGAGACTTCTTCTATATGTTTGGAACTGACAGTTGCATTTCGTTCATTAAATAAGTCTAGAGCTGTCTAACAAGAATGGGGAGTCTCTTATGGAAAAGGATAAGCCAACAAACAGGGACACTGTAACAATCGATGGGCTGAATAATTGATGATATAGGCTTCAGCACAGATGATTAGTTTTGCTCTATGGACCTGAGAAGGTTCACACTTTAATTTAGGGATCGAAGTTTACTTTGCAGTATGTGGTTAGGAAGGTTGTAAAACCCGAATAAGCCATCAAGTCAGTTTGATAAGTTATTTGATTTTTTAATGATTGGATTAGCTAGGTTCAACCAATTCAAGTCGATTTTAAGATAGTATGTGAGAAAAATTTTAATGTCCAATGTTTTGAAAATAGGATTGGATATTGAACTGGAAAAAAATTAGTGGTTGATGATTTAAATGTTATTGTTATTGATTTGGGTTTCATAACATATGGGCTGTGGCCCTGCCATAAATTTGATAATTATACTTGGGCTGTGGGGTTGATCTAAATTTGAAAGATTTGGGCCGTGGTGCAGTTGGGTATTGGTATAAGCCCACAAACAAATCACTCTAAGGGAAGGGGAGAGGGGTTGGAGGCAATGGCAATTTGAACTTGCCTCATGGGTATTATTCGATTCGACTCGTGATAGGATGGATATTATTCGATCTACAATAGCGTGAGACGGGGTGTGGGTATTTAATGTTGATTCGCTCTGCCTCTTCCCCGTTATTGGCCTATTTTATCTCAATTTCTTATAATATGTATACATGTTTATCCTATTTTGACTTTCCTTCACTAGTTAGAGTCGAACTTGCTACTTGGTAGACTCAATTATCCATTCTATTATCACTATTTTCTTTCAATAGTTACTCTGTGAGCATTCTCCTCAGGTATCTTGAAACTCAGTTTTTTTTTTCTCTTTCTTGACTTGTAAGTCAGCAGCCTAGGTTTCCTCCTCGGGTATATACTGATTCTGTTTTTTGGCTTCACGTCTTAGATTCCTCCTCACGGAGGTGAGACGGGAGTGGATTCAATGGTCGCAGGAATTAGCGGAGCTCCGAGCAATTGATTTTGGCTTGCTGCCTGCAAATGGCGGAGGAGCACAACCTCCGGGTGACGATGGTGGAAAGCGACTGCCTCACAGCCATCCAACAACTCCAGGCGAAGGAAATGACGAGATTGGAAGGAGGGGTGTTGGCCCGAGAAATCAAGGACAGGGGCGACGGGTCTAGAGTCGGTTCGTTGAAGCTTCACGAAACGAACCAGCTCACGCTATGCCCCATTTGGCTTGTAACTGAGACAAAACAAGATTTGGGTTTTTAAGCCCCCTGTTTTTCTCCTTTCTATTTTGGAGAAGGATGGTCTGATATATGAATAAAAATTCAGGTTTCTATAAAACAAACTCTCTCTTTATTGAATAGTAGTATATTTTTTATCCAAATCTTTTTCAGATCTTTTATATTATTCAAATTTATTAAAATTCTATTAATTAATCAAATTTTTATAATGCATCAAAATATTAGCCATTTTTACGATATCGTTAATAATTTTGTAATTTTTTTCATAATTAATACTAAAATTTGCAACGTTGACCTTCATGTGTCTCTTCCAAGTCAGTATCATGTTGTTAAGTCAATATTACTAACAAATTGCTAGCAAAAAGTTAACATTTGTCTAATTCCTAGTATTTTATAAATTTAAATAATATAAAAAAATCTAAATAAAAAATAAACATTACTCTTTTAATTATTCATCTCCTTACACTAATTAAATGCGAGACTGCAAAAAATAAAAAATATTGGGTACCAGAAAAGGGGGAAAGACAACAACGGATCTGGTCCGATCACCAGAGCCCTCCGGGATGCGCGTACGCAGCTTCTCGCACGAGCGACGATTCCGGCAGAAGTTGCCAACGACTCGTTGCTCCGGTGATAGCTTTCTCACCGGCCTGTTCCTTGCAGGTGTTGTTTCCGATATCTCCGTTAGGCTGATGCGCCCATCACCGGAAAAGTAAATGCTTTCATCCTTATCTTGGTGGCGCAAAGCCTCTTCCACGTGGCTCCAAAGCTCATCGAACGAATCTTCATCACTGCCGCCGTCACACTTATTCTTCGCTGCCGCCGGCATTGGTATGTCTCTGTTCACGACGGACGTTATAGGCTTGAGCGGCTAACGGGCAGTGATTAGCTATATCTCTGCGTTTGGTTCCTTCCCTCTTATAATGAATCTTCAGTTTCGTTCGTGTATATATATGAACGGGAGACTCTGTTTCCGTCTCCTAATCGGCTTCCGATTTTCACTTAATTTTTCTTATACGAATCCCTTCATAAACCAGTTGGGACTCTGTTTTCTTTTTCCGAGTAGCAAATTTCGACAAAAGCTCAGATCTTTCAAACTTTGCCCCCAAATCCAAACCAAATTTCGCAGCAATTCATCATCACTCACAAAAACAGAGCAATGTGCGCCAGAACAATACAAATTCCAAGTGACAAAGAACCAAAACCCACAATTACTCCCCGCGAGACATTTTTGCTAACCCCATCGCCATCCCCATCATCACCCTCATCGTCGGACTCATCATCCGCCTTCACCTTCTTCGCCGCAGCCGGAGCCGCCGCTGCAGGGGATTTCTCCTTGGGGCCGAAGATAGCTGCCGGAAGCAGAACATCGTCCACTCGATATATCGCCAGATGGGTATCCGTGTAAACGGTTCCCGACACCGTCGTGTTGATCACTCCGGTCTTCACGTTGACCGAATCCCCGCTCACCGTCACGTTCAGCAAGAACCGGTCCCCTGACCCGGCGTGCGTCTTCAGGGGATTGCTCACCGTCTCGAATTGCTTCCTCGAGATGAATGTCGGGACGATGTGGAACTGCACGAGCTGCATCTTCTCCCGCCGGTTCAATGACCGGCCGGGGGTCTTCAATTTGGTGAACGCGGCGTCGCTGGGGGCGAAGATGGTGAGGCCGTTGTTGGTGTCGCCGAGCTGGGAATTGAGGTTGGAGTCCAGCTGTGTGGTTTTGAGAAGCCGGACGAAGGTCTTGAACTCCCCTGCCTTCTTCAGGATTTTCACCACGTTGGTTGGTCCCGTTGGGGAAGGGGATGGAGCCGGTGCCTGGGCTAGAGCGATGGAGCTGCGGTGGAGGAAGGGGAGGAGGAGAAGCAGGGAGAGGAGTGATGAATGTTGCTGATGATGCATCGTGTTCATAGTTGGGTGTGTGTATGAATGGCAAGATGAAGTTGGGTGTGAGTGTGTGTGTGTTCATATATAGGGGTTGAATGGATTAATTGAAATTAGGTGTAGAGGTTTAATTTAAGGTGGAATCCAAAAGAAGCAAAAATTGGTTGGTTAGAAGAGAATTGGGAAAGATGAAAGGTCATCTGTAATGAGTTTTGGTTGCTTAAAATGTCAGGAAAAATAAACAGAGGAATGAGTTTAATCACCATAGAAATTACATAGTTGGTAAAACGTGCAATGCAGAGATTTATCCAACTCTGTATTTGTGGCAAGGATCATCGTCATTCTTCATCGTTTGCCATGCGATTGCATAAAAAGTAACTTTCAATGGTGTTAAACTGATGAGCACATTTGTTATACTTGGATTACCAACTAACACAGTTTAGTCTACCATCCGAGTGATCAAGATTTATCTTAAGCATCTGAAATCTATAATAGGTTTTGATTGTTTCAAATGCCAGCAAAAAAGAATAAAGAGGGATGAGTTTATGCACCATACCTAGACTAGTAAAAACGTGTAATACATAATATATCGAACTTTGATTTTATGGTGACAACGTGAATGTGTAAGAAATACATTTTAGCGGCGTGTTAGAATGATGACCATATTGGTTACGCTAATGGAGTAAAACATAAAACCACCTATAAAGAACACTAATTAATTAATTACACTATTTACCTACTAATATAGCTAAGTGTACCATCCAACTATTGTAACATCTGGAAGAAGAAAAAAAAAAAGATCTTAGTGTCTTTCACGAAATAGCAACAAACAAAATGAAGGACAATCCTTTAGTTACAAATTGGAACATGTTGATTATTGGAAATCACAAACATAAAGAGACAGAATTAGGAGCTCCACCGTAAATCATCAAAAGGGCGCCCATATATTCTTGTGTCACAAGGCAACCAACAACAACAACGTGGCAACAAATCCAACTCCAAACACCACAACTCCTCCACACCGCTCCCCAATCCTCGTTGAATCAGAAGCATCCTTGGGGTTGGGAACAACAGGGGCCGAACCTGCAGGCTCGGGCGCAGGTGCAGGAGGAGGGAACAAGTTCTTGGGCTGCAACACATTCTCAACCTCATAAACAGCCACGTGCGCGTCACTGTACAGTGTCCCACTAATCCTCGTCTTCATAACACCGGTCGATATGGTCACCTCGGTATCCGTGGTGGCTACGGTTAACGTGAACCGGCCGTTCGAACCGGCCAGCGTCTTCACCGGGTTGCTCAGGGTCTGGAAGTCGGGTATCGCGAGGAGCCTTGGCAGGATGTGAAACTGGACGAGCTCGACTCTCTCCACCTCGTGGAGAGAGTCGATGCCGGGTTTTCCGAGCTTGGAGAATGCGGAGTCCGTCGGGACGAGGACGGTGATGCCGTCGGTTGTGGTGTTGAGCTGGGCGGAGAGCTGGTCGTCGACGTGGGTGGATTTGATGAGCCGGGCGAACGTGGTGTGGTTTCCGGCCTTGAGAAGGACTGCCACGGTGTCCGTTGGGAGTCGTGGTGGTGGAGATGACTGAGCAAGGGTTTTGCTGCAATGCAAGAACAGAAGGAGCAGGAAGGAGAGATGGGATTTCGGCATTTCGATCAGAGAATTAATACAGCTCGAGTTGTTGGAATAAGTACCGGTTCTTCGGGATGACGGGAAAAGAGAAGTTGTGTTTTGATGTGTTTTTATAGGGTTGTAACTTTGGTTGTGGGATAGGGTCATAGTACCATTTATGCAGTTTCTGAAAAGGTGGAGGGTTAGCAAATGGAGAGAAAGAGATGGATTTGAAAGGATTTGCTGCAGCAATGAGTTTTGCTTAGGAAGGAGGAACTAAGATGCTGTGGAGGATCATCACTTGATTCAGAACGGGTTGGAAATTAGGTTAGATATGGAAAGTTCATATGCATGATTTTGATTTGATGAAATGAGGAATTAGGTCTCTGTCAATGGCAGAATGATTGGATTAAATGGTTGGTGCAAGCCTAGCTAGCAACAGCAGAATATTACACTCATCAGTTTGATAAGATGGAGGGAAGTTAATTACCTACAGGACTTTATAGCTTAAGCTCTGCACAAATCCAGCCCAACAAATATATTAAACCAAACTATGGGCGTAAAAAACTTATTATGCAAACTCTAGAATCTAAGTAGAAGAAGAAATCAAGATCAACTCAAACGTGACGGCTCAGATTTCATTTGTTTACGAGTCAAGATGAGTCGCTGATAATTTTTGTTGGATTTACAATAGATGATAATGCAGAAGTTTTTTTGTGTTCGTTAGTTAGGACGAGTGATTAACCATTACCGTGTTCACTATGGACACTTAATTAGGTCTTTTTTGTTTGAGGGTTAAGATGAGTGGCTAATTAATTATCAACTTATCATGAATTGAATTGGACTATCAGCCACTACGACTGTAAGTCACGGGAGCCAGCGGTGTATGGTTTCAATATTATTTGGGTTCGTGTTCTGGGATGGTTGTAACAGCTTTTCCTTTACCATATTGGATTAGGATTAGACTTAGGAGAAGTACTATAAATACTTCTCATATTTCTCTATAATTTGTATCTCCTCGAAATATAGTGAAATTGGCTCTCTCCTGCCCGTGAACTATAACTAACACACATTTTGTTAGTGAATCACGTAAATCATATATCATGTGTGTGCGTGCTTTCGTTTCTTGCATTGTCGAATTCTCATATTTACCGATCCGCAGAAAATAGTCGTGACAGTGTTCATTATGGCTGAACAAAAGCAAAGGTTTCTGTTTTTGGGCCGAACAGTATCGTTAGGATATATGAATAGTAGTTGGAGTCTTATTAGAATACTGTTGTACTTGTGTGTCACGGGATAATCGTAGCTTCGTATGCATTTTTATTCATAGATGCCAAATACCAAATTATTTGAAATCCAGGAAAAATAACTATTACAATTAACCATAGTCCATGAAACTGTATCGTATTCTGATTCAACCACAAAATACCAGTATCAGAGGCTAAATCGGTAGGTGGTATTTAACGGTTGAACTACAGTTAAACCACGATTTTGCCATAAAATACCATACCATTGACTTTTTCGGTACGGTTTCATGGACCATGCAATTAACAAATTTTATATGAGTCTTACAATAGAACTGTATCGATAATCGATTCATGTTTGTACCAATAATAATGTAGTCGGCCACAAGATGGTAAATAATTTAGTTTACTTTTGACACACATTCATTCAACGTGTGCGACCCGAACTTAAACCAGTGACTATATATGATATTATGGCATTATCATGAATCACGATATTTCTAATACGAACTAAAACATGTCTTTCTACCCAAAAAAAATTGTTTACAGGGATGCACGAAAATTTATCATTCAGTGTCTTCCATTCTTGTTACAAAGTTCACAATTCACATACAAAATACAAGTGTGAAAAAAAAAAAAAACAGAAAACGGAAAATCAAGGGATAAATATATGGCGGGAAGAAAACCGAATTTCAAAAGGGGAAACCCCAAATTGAAATAATACATGAGAAATGGATCTATTCATGATCCCCACAACCTCCAAACTTATTGAAAAATCACTCACTCTATCCGATCACACGATTCAATTTCATCAATCCTCCATAAAAAATCGATGCCACCGCCCGATCTACACCCGTCACAAGAACGCCAAAGCCACGGCGGCCACCGTCGCAGCTCCGACCATCACCACATTCTTCCACCCAACAACACAGCCCAACTCCGCACCGGAAGCATCCTTCGGCACCGCCGGCCCATCCGCTCCCTCGCCCTTCAAGCTCTTCGGCGGAGCAGGCGCCGGAGCCAGAGCCTTGGGCGCAAAAATCTCCATGGGAAGCAGAACCTTATCCACCTGATAAATCGCCACCTTATCATCCGCATAAACAATCCCCGACACCGTCGCATTCGTCAGCCCGCTCGTCACGTTCACCATGCTATCGCTGGTCGTGACGTTGAGCTGGAACCGCTTGCCCGACCCGGCCAGAGTCTTCAACGGGTTGCTGACGGTCTGAAACTGGGGGGTCGAGATTTGCCTGGGGATGACGTGGAACTGAACCAGCTGGATCTTTTCCTGGTCGGAGAGTGAATTGAGAACCCCTGCCTTGATGATGGCGGAGAACGCGCCGTCGGTCGGGGCGAAGACCGTGATTCCGTCGTCAGAGGCGTTGAGCTGGGATGCGAATTGGATGTCTTCCTGTGTGGTTTTGATGAGGCGGATGAAATTGGAGAAGTGGCCGGCCTTTTGGAGCACCTTGAGGACGTTGAGCGGGCCCTTGGAGGTTTGGACCGGGACCATGGCGGCTGGGCCTTGGGCCGGCGGCGGCGCGGTGGGCTTTGGAGTTGGGGGAGATATGGGCTTTGGAGGCGATTTGGCAGGGGAAAGAGCAGGGGGCGAGGCAGAGGTGGAGGAGGACTGGGCTGATGTGAATGTGGAGCTGTGGAGGGGGAGGAAGAGGAGGGTGGAGAAGAGGAGTAGTGTGGAGAGGGCTTGTGATTGCTGCGCCATTGTTTTGTGTGAGTGTTAGTTATGCAGATGAGGTGTTTGATGAAATGCTTCTGAGAGATGAGAATTGGGGAATGGTTGTATGTGGTTGATGGTTTGATGGGCAGGGAGTGGGAGAGGGAAAGAGGTTTATATAGCGGCGCGGAGGGTGAGGATGAAGATGGAGCCATGGATGTCTAGTTCTCGGCCAGGTCTGGTGTGATGTTTTATGTGGGTTGGTTGCAGAAGGGTGGATGGAGGGCATCAATGGAGGAGGGAAAGGATGATGGATTGGATGCATTGTGGGTAATCCATTCCAGAGTTTTTGCTTAGAATGGTAGCAAATGTGCTGTGTGATTGGGGGAAGAATGTGGGGATTATGCATCAATCAGGAAACGGTGGCACTGTCAAATTGTCAAGTTAATCAGATGAGCTTTTGCATTTAGGATGTTCATTGATGGCTGGCACAGTCTAAATCACTTTACCTTGCTGCAATTTGTAAGCTCTAAGCCAATCTCGTAATGTGATGCTGGAATTATTAGCTTTTGGGAATTATTATTTGGTGATAAATCACATCCTGTTCTGTGTTTCAGTAAACCATAAAAAAAATTTATGCCTTTTATAATTGCGGCTACATAGATGGCAAATGCAAATGTCCCAAAAAAAAACAATCTCTTCTATCGGGGTAATTAAACTTCAAAGTTTATTTGATGAAGGTTTTCTAATCATAAATTTAGTGTGATGGTTTCTTATTTTTTTATGAGAACGGTAAATGACTACGTAATTAATTGATCTCGATTAATTGATATCGGATTGATCAAATTGGTTTGTATGAGTTTACATATATTGACAGTGATAGTAACTAAATGATCAAGAAAATATAGGCTATGTAATATTTGGAGACAATCTCATCGTGATAACCAACTAGATTACGTAATTACAAAATCATTGTTTGAGTTGTGTATTTACTTGAATTTTTTTTAGATGAAAGTGAGTAATCACAGTTTTCTTATCATAATGCCTTTTGAATTTAAAAATAAAGCAATTATCTATCTCGTAATTATGCCAAATAAAAGAATCATATTTTCAATATGTTTAACGTTACTCCATAAAATACTTAAAATAGAGGCTATATTTGTGGTGTTACGAGTTTGGGGATATAGCATGATCGTCATTTTGATTTGTTTCTAGGTGTATAGCATTATGGTCATTTTAATCATCTGATTCCGCTCAGAAGGATTGCAAGCTTTTATCGTGTGATAGAACAATAGCATGCGTTAATTTATGCATAGATGAAATCATCTAAAATTGCTTGTATCTTGAGGAACATGTTCAGTTTAACTTTAGAAATTCACCCTATTAACCATTTTAATGATAAATGAGCAGTTGAGACATTTATTCATATATGAATTAGTTGTAAGCCTTGTCTGTTTTGGATTAGGATTGCATTCTATATACATTCAAATCATCAAATGTAGCCTTCCCATGTAAACACTTGAAGAAACCAAACGTATAACGACGAATTTATTCGAAGCAAACTTTTATTTTATAATGTTGAATCTGTTACGGAGCTTGAACTTGCAGCAAACAAATCCCTCAAATAAAAGGGGAATGAACAGGAAAATTGACACAACAAGCCCAGCAATCCAAGTGAAACCACCCTCACAAAGAAATCAGAGAAGCCATTCCGGCAGCCCGCAGAACTCTGTTATCTCCAGCACACAATGGAGAAGAAGAAGAAGAAGAAGAAGAAGAAGAAGAAGAAGAAGAAGAAGAAGAAGAAACCGAAAAGGAAAACGCAGATCATCTCTTAAACAAATCACAACACTGCAGCAGCAATCGACCCGACTCCCAAAACCAAGATCACCAAACCCTGACGCCGCCCAATCCGCCTCACGGCACCAGATTTGTCGCTCTTCGGAACAACAGGGCTCTCCGCTCCATCCCCTTTCTTCCCCGCCTTCTCCGGCGCCGGCGCCGGGGCAGGGGCCGGCGGCGGAGGCCTGGGAGTGAAAACGTCAAGCGGGAGCAGCACCTTGTCCACCTGATAAATCGCCAGCCTGCTGTCCGCATAAACGGTGCCCGAAATCGTCGTGTTGACGATCCCGGTACTAATATTGACCGAACTCCCGGTGACATCGGTGGTGATGTTCATCGAGAGCCGGCCGCCCGAACCGGCCTGGGTCCTGACCGGGTTGCTCACGGTCTGGAACTGGGCCGACGAGATGAAGAACGGCACGATGTGGTACTTCACCAGCTCCGATTTGTCCCCGTCGCTCAAAGAATTGAGGGTCCCTGCTTTCAGTCCCGAGAACGCGCCGTCGCTGGGGGCGAACACCGTGGCGCCGTTGTGGGTCTCGTTGAGCTGCTGGTAGAGCTCGACGTCCTCCTGAGTGGATTTCAGGAGCCGGAGGAAGACGGTGAACCGGCCGGCCTTGTCGAGGATCTTGGCGACGTCCAATGGGCCGGGGGTTACGGCGACTTGGGCCGCGGGTGCAGGGGAGGAAGGTGGCGGCTTGGCTGGGGCGGCGGCGGGAGATAGGGATAGGGTTTTGGGGATGTTTAGGAGGAGGAAGGCGAGTGAAATTGAGATTATGATTTGGGTTTTCATGTTTGCTGGCGGTGTTGGGAGAATGGAGGTGATAAGAAGTGAAGGTTGTGAAGGATGGGGAATGTCTGCAAGGTTTTTGATGAATGGACTGTGTGAAGAAGCAGGGTTTATATAATAGTGTTCGAGGGCAGAGGAATCAATGGAGGTAGAGATGAATGAATTGTACATGATCATCCATTGCTTAGAAATGCAGGAAGGTGTGAATGACAGACATAACCTGAGGTGGGTTTCCATGGGAGAAACGGACATCTGATTCTTTGGGGGAATGTGGGGATTGCATCAATCAATATTTGTTGGCTGGCTCTGTCGAATGTCGATTGTCAACTTCCAGAGCGTATGAACTTTTGGTGAGATTTTAACAATGAAAAGGTGAAGGAAGAAAGGGAAAGAAAAGGCGGGAAGATGGAAGTTGGGCATTCACTTCAAATGTCAGCGCCCACCATGCCCAAAGATCATGTCAATCTTACACAAATATGGTAGGCCGTTTTTTTTATATCTCCAGGCTGGGTTGATGTTGTTTCTCCAGCAAAGTGCTCTGTTTTAGGATGTCAATTCATGGATTCCTTGTCGATCTCACTCCACCTTATTATTGTAACTTTTTACCCAATCTCGTAATCAACTCAGTGTATCAGAATGAAGTTCTTCAATTGCTAGGGATCCATTTGATGAAAGTATTAACCTTTATCATGTACTCTGCTCTGTAAGAAGAAGAAAAACCACTTGCAAATTGCATCATACAGAATTCTGATCTTTCTACCTCCACCATCGTCGCTATAAAACCCCTCAATCTCAACTCCAATTCATCTCATCAAGCATCTTCACTACAATCCTCCACTACCACTACTAGCAACTACTCTTCTACTGTTTTCCCAGCTTGATCCTATCATTTTCTTTTCTGCAGCAGCCTACTCCAGAGCTAACCCATCAAGATGATGAACAAACAGAGTACTCTGTTTTCAGCGGCAGCATTCCTCTGCCTCCTCCTCTGCCTAACGAAGATCACAACAGCACAATCCCCTGCATCATCCCCTGCCGCCGCACCGCCACCAGCAGCAACCCCGCCGGCGCAACTCCCAGCGCCAACTTCCCCCACCAACGTCACCAAAATCCTCGAGAAAGCCGGCCACTTCAACACCTTCATCCACCTCCTCCGATCCACTCAGGAAGACAGCCACCTCCTCACCCTCCTCAACAACTCCAACAACGGCGCCACCATCTTCGCCCCCTCGGACTCCGCCTTCTCCTCTCTGAAATCCGGCACCCTCAACTCCCTCTCCGACGAGGCCAAATCCGAGCTCGTCAAGTTCCACGTCGTCCCCACTTTCCTCTCCTCCGCCCAATTCCAGACCGTCAGCAATCCGATCGCCACGGAGGCAGGATCCGGCGGCCGCGTGTCCTTCAATTTGACGGCGTATCCCGATTCGGTCAGCATTACCACGGGGCTTACCAACGCTAGCATCGCCGGGAATGTGTACGCCGACGATCAGCTGGCGGTTTATAAGGTGGACAAGGTCTTGCTCCCCGTGGATATCTTCACCGCCAAGCCTCCTGCTCCTGCTCCGGCTCCCGCTGCGGCGGAGAAGCCCAAGAAGAAGAAGGGTTCCCCTGCTCCGGAAGAGGAGGCCGCCCCTGTTGTTCAGGTGAACACATCGGCTGCTGCTGCTGGCGCTGGGATTTCTGCCGGTTGGGCCTTGAAGGTGACGGCGGCGGCCTTTGCTCTTGGCGTGGCTTTTTTGGCGCCGGCTATTTGAATCTGAGAGACGGAATGCTAGAGTTGAAGACTTTGGGATGAATAATTCTTTTGCTGAATTGAATGGGTTCTGTTTTCTATTTGTGTTTTTTTTTTTTTTGTTATTCATTTCAGAATCCATTTTGTTTGTACTTCTTCTTGTGTTTCTTGATTGCTCCATGTGTGAATCAACTTCGTGAATGATATTGACATCGAGTTCAGTATTTAGTTCTCTTCTACAATTTTACTTCAACTAAAATTGATCCCTAAGCACAATTGAGAAGAACTTTCACTTTTATCATGGGGTTGCTAGCCAAATTATTCACAAACTAGAATGGAAGCCTGCGGGAATTACTAAAAGTGTTCTTTATGGTGAAGTGTATGTTTCACATTTATAAAACATTCTAGTGATAAGAAACATGACCATCCAGCAACTGATAGTGTACCCAAGTAATTTTGTCTTTCATAACTTGTTGCAAAACCTGTAAATTGTAGCATTTCAATTTAGAGAATCAAGTAACAAGCGAAAACCACCAAACAATCGAAAGTAGGCATAAACAGGGAGCAATTACCCTTGTTGGTAAGCACTATAAGTCATAGTGCTTCACCATATCCATATGTAAACACAGTAACACAGTCTATTGAGATTGTGGATAAATAGTTACTGTATTGTTGAAATAATTAAAAATTCACATATGTTTATTTGATTAGATCAATTATAAGTCCTTAGCACATACCGAAAATGATATTTTTTTATGTTAATCAAATGATATCCTCTAACGTCAGATTCATGATGCTTCTAGTTCTAACAAAGTCCAATTAGTTAATGCATTTGTTGTAGTTAGAACCATTCTTAATAAAAATAATAGTAACAATTATTAAACTTACGGCTAATTACAAAGGATCACATGATAGATGAAAAAATTACAAAAAAGTACCTTTTTGATGGGACAATAAGGATCAATAATTTTGTTACTTGTTATTTTATAGAGATGATGATGATGATGATGATGATGATGATGATGATGATAATTAATCAATAGTTTGTGCTCTGCGGCGAGAGGCGGTGCAATTTTAGGACTATGGCACGAAAGTTACACTCACACATACATGCTTATTATTAACTGAATAATCATTGATGTATTAAATGAAAGGCTGAAAACAGTTTTTACCATAAGAAATATAGGAGCCTTATCTAAAAAAAATTACTTAGTTTTCATGATCAGTGAGAAGAAATATAGAAGCATCCTAGCAAGACGATTAACAAAGCATAAATCATTGACCATAAAGAAAACATTTTTTCCGAACAAATCACACACCAACTAATTCCTAAGATGTTCTTAAACTTTTACATAATAAAAGAAGTTTATCAACAACCACAATCACGACCAAGATCAAGCTACCTTACCCAGTTACATGCATGCAGTGAGTAGCTACTTTCACAATTGTTCAGTATAAAATAAAAACAGTTTGTCAATGAAATATCCAAGAAGGTTCTTCACATTAATCATGTAAGCAGCCTTCTTTAAAATCCAAAAGCAACCCAAACTTGCCCCTGCAAACAACAAAAAGGAACTGTTCAAAAAAAAAAACAACAACAAAAAGGAAAACACATTGATAAATAGAAACAACCAATTAAGAAAATAAATGTCGCAAACTAATCAGTTGTGAGGTAATTAAAGAACCATGTTAGGTTCTGAATTCCTTGTAAAATCACCAAAGAATATATATAGCCATATCAATCTATTGCCAATGGCGATAATGGCGGTGATCCATCAGCCTAAAACCACTCTCTAGTTGCAACTCAAGGAGCAAAAGGCACCCTACTTTTGAGAAGTGAACGCCGTGAAAGAAAGCTAGAATATAACTCAAGTGAATCACAATAGCAAACTTGTTACTTTGGTTTGTCAAAATCACATCAATATCAACATTGATTCTGAGTTCATGAAAAAAGGCAAAACATATCCATCAAGATCAACAAATCAAAGTTCAATAAGCAAATGGTAGAAACAATTCACAAAACAAAAGGGGAAAATGAAAGGATTGTAAAGCAAACCTGGTAAAGAACTGAAATATGTTAACATCACCGACTTTCATACTCCAGCCAAGCTTAAACCCCATTAATCATGTTAGCAAATAACCAAAAACACATATGATGTATATGGGATCAGTGAAAAAACACGATAAGTCGATTGGATTCCTCAAAGCTTAAGTATAATATCTCCTATCCTCCTGATTTCACGAAGCAAAGGGTTAGAACAAAGCTCAAGATCAAGGACAAATAATGCCTACCTTAGTTCCAGGAGCGGTTTTGGGGGTAGATAAACTACTTTGTAAATCTGGGATCCTCCCCAACACAAGCAAATATCTAAATGGAAAGAAAAAAATATACATCAGGAAATGTAATAACGTATTCAAGGAGTGTGATAGAAGAAAAAACAGAACTGAAAAATTACAATACCTCTAAATCGTGGTTTAGTTTCAGGAACAAACTCCATTCTACCCTTAAGTGTACATCTGGCAGACAGTTGGCTGGAACCCCAAACTCTTCACAGGCTCCCCACCCTTGATTCACAACTTAATCCTGCAAAAGTGGAAGAATCGGCAGAGTTGGTGATCAGAGAAAGAAATTGAATCAAATGAGGAATTGGTGTCTAGAGTGCAGACCCCGTAACCATAGAAACTAAATGAAACCCACAAAGAATCCTATCATATTATTTAGAAGCTAGTTATTTCATGAAAGTGAACCAATGATATAAGATTCAGTAAAAGTGACCATGATTGTTAGACTCAAATGACAGTTATAATAGGGGAAGACTATGTTTTTCCACCATTATTAATCTACTTGCCATCTGTGAAGGACCTCCATCATGGTTTCCGCTCTCTGAAATCAAACGAAACGGGAAAAAAAACTCAAGTTCATAGTGATAGTAGGAACCATATTATTGTCAAAGTATATGTCGAGGTCATTCATTACTCACCTACAGTCCTTTGTCTTGCAAGATTGATTACGACATCGCTTCCCAGCAATGAAGTCTAAGAACTAAAGATACTCATAATTTACCCACTGAATAAATAGCTATGAAAAAGGACTGACGACCATGGGTACGAGACTGTATGATGAATTCGATCTGTCAATGCAAATGAGAGGAATCCATAAATAACTCGAGGAAGAATCTTGAACATGTCGATGAGGGCCTTGTGGTTGCACCCTTGATATAATGTTTCCTAAAAGATAAGGGGGAAAAAATAGCTGACCGATCAGTACAGATATGAAAAAACCAAAAGCACACAAAATAAGAGATGAGGTCACTTAGCTATGGATCATTTCCTTTGCCAATGAGGTAGCCGAACAGGCTTGCATCATGGTGGATTCTACCTGAGGGTCTTCCCCAAATCGAGCATAAGGGAGGAGGGAATCAAAAGCTGAAGAGAATACGCCTACTGAGTTTCGTTGGCAGAAGCACCACAAACGGAAGGAATTGCAAACATGTAGAGAGGAAGATCAAATTAATAAAGAGAAGAGAGGTGATAAAACTGAAAAGAAGGGAAAATCGAATGAAAAAATGTGGAATATGATAGTTACTTGCACTTGCGAAGGAAGCTCGAACATGGAACTGCATCGGAGAAGATCATCGAGATATGGATTCAGAAGGCACTGTTGATGCCTCTGATAAGGTGAGCGCTTTGAAGAAGACGATGGTGATCGTTCCGATTGATGAAGGCTGGATGGATTTTGGTGGCGGTCGTTCGAAAGGATCCTCACCGCCGAATTGACAGATTCGCTAAAGAAGCATAGTTTCCGGCGAGGCGCTCGGTGGCTTTGAGGTTTCTGCTTGAAGCCGCAGACAAGAGAGAAGGCAGTGTGTGTGTGTGTGTGTGTGTGTGTGTGTGTGAGAGAGAGAGAGAGAGAGAGAGAGAGAGAGAGAGAGAGAGAGAGAGAATGGCCTACCTGTGACTGTGAGTTGTCCCTCACTTCGCCGGGCTTGTTTCAGTTTCAAGAGAGAGTAAAGCAAGCATTGAGGATCGTACCCGGTAGGTGAAATAAGCGGATAAAAATTAAAACACCAATGTGGCGCTTAGGTCCACCAAGTAACCTACTCAAAATATATTTGTCCCTCTCTTTCCTTGGGCCATCCACCAAGCGAGAAAACAACCATCCACTTGAGACTTCCGTGGCAGAGGAAAGAAGCAAAAGAGAGAGGCCTGAAGCAGCTGTGAGACACGGCAAGTCAGGCCCACCATAGTGTAACAACCCATGAAAAGGTCATGAATAGTAAACCGTTTGTAGGCAAACAGTAAAAGTAGTATGGGATAAATAAGAAATGGATGTTTGTGCTACTTCTTCTAATGTAAAACGTGTTCCCGAAGCAAAACTCGTTAATACCGATTGATGATAGATTCAAGAAATTCCCGATTGGGGATTAGGGATTTGAGAGAAAGAAATTAGGGTTTGAGAAGAATTGGGGAAGAATTAAGAGAAAATAAGATTAGGGATTTGGTTTAACTGTTCTTGATTAATTCTGAAAAATAAGGTGCAACCCTTTAAATAGAAGTCCAACCGACATTAAGAAAATAACAATAATGCTACTAGACTAACCGACCTAGTCGGCTGCCCCACCCGACCCTCTATATCGGGTTTCCATTAGGTTTCAACACGTGTGCAACTTGTTACTGACGCAAAACTCGTCGAGAGAATAGTAAATTTGTTGCTTATTCTTTTAAAAGAGATGAAGATGATGATGATGATGATAATAATAATAATAATTATTATTAAACTTATATTTAATTACAAAGGGCCACATGTTAGATGAAAAAATTACAAAAAAACACCTCTTTGATGGGACACTAAGAAATAATAACTTTGTTACGTGTGCGGAACTCGTCCTCAACGTAAAAGTTGTTAACACTGGTAGAATTAGATCGAATACCCATTGACTTAAACCAAAAAATCTTAATTGCCAATCGAGCACCTGTTGACTTGGATTCAATGTGGGTTCAATTAAAACATTTGATTAGTCAATAAAAAATATAAATAATAAAAAAGCGTGTGAAACTCGTCCTCAATGCAAAAGTGGCCAACACCGGTCAAATTAGGTCGAGCACCTATAGACTTGGATTCAATTTTGGTTCAATTAGAACTTTAATTAGTTAATAAAAATGTAAATAATAAAAAAACTTATGAAACTCGCCCTCAACGCAAAAGTTGTCAACACTGGTCGAATTAGATCGAATGACCATTGACTTAAACCCAACAATCTTAATTGCAAACACTGGTCTTCAACACCGGTCGAATTAGGTTGAGAACCTATTGATTTGGATTTAATTCGGGTTCAATTAGAACATTTTATTAGTTGATAAAAAATGTAAATAATAAAAAAATGTGTGAAACTCGTCCTCGATGCAAAATTCGTCAACACCAATCGAATTAGTTCGAATTCCTGTTGATTTGGATTCAATTAGAACATTTGATTAGTTAATAAAATTTTAAATAATAAAAAATCGTGTGAAACTTGTCCTCGACGCAAAATTCGTTAACATTGATTAAATTAGATCGAATACCCCTTGACTTAAACCAAAAAATCCTAATTGCCAACACCGGTCGAATTAGATCGATTATCCGTTGACCTAAACTACAAAAATCTTAATTGGCAACACTGGTCGTCAACATCGGTCGAATTAAGTCGAGCACCTATTGACTTGGATTTGATTTGGGTTCAATTAGAACATTTGATTAGTTCATATAAAAAAAATTAAATAATAAAAAAGTGTGTGAAAATCATCCTCAACGCAAAAGTCGTCAACACCGGTCGAATTAGATCGAATACCCATTGATTTAAACCAAAAAATCTTAATTGCCAACAGTAGTGGAATCAGGTCGAGTTAGAACTCATTGACTTGGTTCCCGGTTTCAATTGTCATAAGCTAATTTGAAGAGTTCAAAGTCTAAATGACACTAAAAAGGTTTAAATGCCGTTAAAACGAAAGCAAAGGCATGGGAGGTGAGTTTTTAACAAATTAACACCGACCTAACACGTCACCTCGATGCAAAAGTCGTAAACACCAATCGAATTAGATCTAATGCTCAGTGGCTTGGTTCAATTAGATTCAATTGTCATAAGCTAATTAATTATAATCTCAATGGCATTTAAACCTCTCCAAGCTTTGGTTAATTACAAAATGAACACCCCTTGTGATGGGACACTATGCAATACTAACTTGGTTACTTGTTCATTTAATAAGATAAAATAATAATAATAATAATAAGTTAAAACGAAAGCAAAAGCATGCGAGGTGAGTTTTCAACAAATTAACACCGACCCAACATGTCACCTCGACGCAAAAGTCGTAAACACCGATCGGATTAGATCGAATCCTCATTGACTTGGTTCAATTGGGTTCAATTATCATAAGCTAATTAATTAGAATCTCAATGGGATTTAAACCCATCCAAGCTTTGATTAATTACAAAATGAACACCCCTTGTGATTGGACACTATGCAATAGTAACTTGGTTACTTGTTTTTTTAGTAAGATTTTAGTAATAATAATAATATGTCAATAGAATTTATTGGAGAAATTCGATGAAAATCATTGTCGTTTTACTCTAAACGGTCGTATATGAGGTACTTCCTAATTATGTACAACAAATAGTATATGGTGTGCCTATGGTGACATGTATGTCAGCGTAACATGCACTTTTCGGTCGACCTATTCCTAATCGCGGTCGACCGAATACACTAATGTGGGCAATATGATGAGTTATCACGGTCGACCTTTAAATGTAGTGGTTGACCGTTTTGAGTTAAGTTGTGACATTACTGGTCAACCACAATAAAACATGGGTCGCCCTTTTCAGAATGAATGCCCAGAATTTGATAAATTATAATACGTTTGGATAATAAATAGAATTTCTATAGGTTTGGTTAAAAGAAAAGAATCTGAAAAAGGTTTGGGTAAAATATAGACATTACCCTTGTTTAAAATGAAAGGTTTGGATATTAAATTGTATTTATCCTACATTTTAATATTATGGTACAACTTTAAGTTGTACATTAAAGCAACAATACTATATAGCATAGTAGAAGTGCTCGTTCGAAACCGGTTCAATTGGTAGGCAAAGACAAAGGAAGATAACAATTAAATTTGCAAAACCAAAAGTATCCCTGACTTTCTTCAGAAACCCACATTTACCCTTGCTTTTTGGATGACAATTGACAAGGGTTAGCTTTGTCGGGGCTTTCCTCCACTGACTCCACACTCTCTTTTTCGCTGCTACGCTGCTGACGAGTCAAGGAAGAAGAGATACTGGGAAGGGAGCTCGGGCAGAAGAATGGCGCGCTGAGGAATCACGACGGAGACGTCGAGCAAAGCAGGAAGTAGACTGCGGTGTGTCAGCCAGGTACCATCTCTTCTTTGTGCTCTGTGAAAATGGTTGATCTTCGGGCATTTTCAGCAGGGTTATTTGATTAGGGTTACAAATTTCCATAATCCTTCTAGGCAGATTCAAACAAGTAGGCAGCCAACTATTTTCCTGTAACCGAGCTGGTTAATTTTGTGTATTTGGGTGGTTTGGAGTATGGGAGAGGATTTAATTTATTAAGAGAGCCGAGTCAATTTATCTAACGGGTCATTTCGTAATGAATGTATGAGAAAGGGAGATAGCTTGCCCTGACCAATGCAAGCTTTCCCTTTTGAGCTCCTGTACTGTTCTAAATAACCCGGCAGGCTTGATAAGCAATTTGCTTAGTAGTCTTTGTGTGGGATTAGTAGACCTGATTAACTATTATATAAACAGGAACAGTGAGAGTAAGGTGTGGTTGCTTGTTGATAGTGAATTAGTGATAGCAAAGGCAAAATTATTGAGGAGAGAATCGTTCGTGGTAGTAGCTTCAAAAGACCGATCCCAAACAACTCATGATTTGATTACTACCCTTCTTCTCTTATGTTCTTGGTTCTTTCTTTCAGCCAAACTTCTGGGTAGATTCCTGGCGTTTTATTCGTTAATGATTCCTTTGCTCTGAAAATATTTCCTATCACGAAGAATTTATTCGATTTAGAGTGATAAGATTGGTTGTTGATGTTAAAGTCTGTATGGATGATTTTGTAGATTACCTGAGGCCTGAGGGTGAGAAGTGCTCATATCCAGTGCTTGATTACGAGAGAAGTACCAGCACCCTTTGAGCCTCGGTAAGTGTTGCAACTCTTGAATTGGGGTCATTGTTGGTTCAGAGTTGCTGGTTGTGAGTAGGTTAGTAGATTGATGATCAAGTTTAAAATTGAAGCTGTAAATTTAAAAGATGTCGATGCGTGTTAATCCACATTTTTTTCCTGTCACAGCCTAAATGAATGAAGGGCATTGCTAAGAATATGATTAAGCCTTACTACCAAAAGCTCAATGAGTAGGCCTAGTGCTCAAGTCTTAAGACCATATGTTCTGTAACAATAGGTGTGAACTTAGATTGCATAAATTTTTGTATTTAATACGTATGTTAATATTGTTAACTTGTATTGTTTAGAGATGGCGTCGGTACCGGGAGGAGGTGAGAATAAGAAGAAACCGGGAGGAGGTGAGAATAAGAAGAAACCAAGGCATAATGAGGGGGAGCAACCACAGATACAGCCACGCCAGGTTTTAAGGGCAGACGGCTTCCCGCAGTTTAACTTTCCTTTCTCTGGTGGAGTGGCTAGTGGACGGAATTCACGCCAGAACCTTGAGAGGGATACAACCACTTCACCATCTGAACAGTCACGGGAGTACGATGATAGTTCTAGGGAATATGAGTCAGATGATTTTGAGGAGGAGCCCCTCCCACAGTTCGATCCTCAGACTGGCGGAGGACCTAGAGTGACGACACATACTGCCGTCGGGGTTTATAATGACAATGGGGGGCGCAACTACTCAGTTCCCCGATGGGGTCAGGAGTCAGGAGCATGTAGGAGGAGGCAACAACAGCCTCAACCGTGGGAGCTTAGAGAGGGGTGTGCGGGTGGACCTAGTGATATGAGGTTGATCCCTACCTTTCGTAGTCATGTCGCCCACGGCCTTTACACAGGGACTTTGAATCGAGGGGTGATCTTTTGCTATCACAAGAGTGAATCACTTGACTGCATCCTTCAGGGGTACAATTTTTGCAATGAGGATGCTGAGGCGAAGGTTCGCCAATCAGGGCTGGCTCACCTAGTTGATATTACGCTCCGCAAGGAGCTGGACACTGCTCTCATTTCGGCTTTTATAGAGAGGTGGCAGCCAGACACCAATACCTTTCACATGCCATTTGGAGAAATGACGATTCTCCTCCATGATGTGCACCACATCCTTGGTGTTCCAGTAGACGGAGAAAGGATGAGTGTGGACACTGGGGAGATGCTGACACTGGACGTAGACATGTGCGAGCTTCTTGGCAAGACCAAGGGGCAAATAAGTATGGGTGCAAAGCGGCCTGAAGGTCGTGAATGGGCTGCCTGGTACAATGGACATGGTTTGTTGGGTGATGAGGCGCTGCAGTATGTGCGTATGCACGGGACAGCGTCTCGAGAGGCACAGTGTTACCTTCTGTTATTGTTGGGGTCTACATTGTTCGTGGACAAGAGTAAAGACCGTGTGAAAGCTGTTGTCAACTTGTTCTTGAAGAACCCAGAGTTGGTGAATGGGTACGCTTGGGGGGCTGGAGCACTTGCATGGTTGTACAGGCAGCTTGGTATAGCCTCCCATGCAGATGCCACGTGTATGGCGGGTTGTTTGACCTTACTACAATGTTGGATTTATGATCACTTTCCCAGCCTGAGGCCGAGTCAACTAAAGCCACGGGATGTTCCAGATGGGCAACCTTTTGCATCTAGGTGGCGCGGGATCCCACCTCTAGCATCCTATGAGAGAGATAATCATTTGGTACATCATTACCGCGAGGCGATTGACAACTTGACAGCCAGACAGGTGGACTGGACACCATATGGTCAATTCCCCCATATCAAGCTTCGTCGTTCCTTGTATAGTGGTGGGGTGATCTCGTTTGCTGATGTGTCAGAGGTGTATGATCCTGCTCGATGCCTTCGACAATTCGGTTACCAACAGATGATCCCACATTGGCCGTTGAAACTACCAGCAGGCTACATTGTCAAGTACAATAACGTCCAGGAACAATTGTGGAATAAGGTAGAATCCCAGTGTCTAGGGTTGGACATGTGTTCTCGGCCTTGTCAGAGCAGGCCATGGGAGGTGGTGGAAGGATACATGGAGTGGTACAAGAAGTACTCACACCCTCAAATTCTTAGTCTCAGTCGACATCGACGAGGGTTCGTGGACAGCGATGTGGTTAGTGATTGTGATTGAAATGTTGATTGATCCTGATGTCGTATTATGTTCATTTGCAACTAACACATGGTTTTCTTATTTGTAGGTGTTGCGTGAGATACTCACGAAGATTGCTCCTGTACTTGACGCTGGCGGAGAGAGTCGAGAGCAGTTTAGGGCGAGGTCGGACGAGTTCTATGACATAATTAAAGGAGTTCAACAATTGTGGGCCGAATACAAGCAGATGGTAGGGCAGCCGTGACACCCTTCTCCTCATTCGTTGTTTGCAGGCCATATGGGGGCTTAGATGTTTCCGTTTGTGATGTTTTTTTTTTTTTATGTTGACAATCATGATTTATCATTTCGTGTAATTCTGATGGATGTGATTTCATTTGCTTGATACATTAATTTCGTATGATGTTTGACTTATGTTGTATTCATAAGTAATTGTTATGGACTTATGGTTGTCATATGGATAGTAATTCGTCACATAGGCCTACAAGGTTAGTTATGTAACAAATGAGCTATGGATTTCTCCTATAATATCGCCTTTTCCTGTGCGTTGGAATTGATACGTTTGTCATCATTGTCTAAGTTAGTGAGAAAGATGTTAAGAATGATTCCTGATGAAATGGATTGTGACTAGGGCTAGCAATCGGTTTGGTTCGGTTTCAACAGAATTGTGCAGTCGGTTCTAGGTTGACCGTTAAGCGTTTTGTGCTTACTATTCATATTAGTTGGTTAAACATAGTTGTATGATCGGTTGCTTTTCCCGGTTAAATGGATAACCGTTAATCAAGTGATTCGACAAGATTATACTAAAATAATCGATGAGTAACCTAACTAACAAAAGATCTCATTTTTTTCATTATCTTAAAATATAATTAGAATTTATAAAACTTTAACTCACATACATTGCCTCTCGTTTGATACTTTTTATCTCAAAAATCTTGATAACAAAATAGACCTTCCTTAGTGTGAGTAAGTCTTTGTGTGAAGCGAAATATAATCGACACATGTTGCAATGATTCATTTACAAATTAATATTCGTAACTCTATATGGCTTGTTTCCCGAAAAGAAATCATTATCCATAATTTACATTCCTTAGTTTTACCCCAACTTGAGCTCGGCTCGTTAAGATAACGAGTTGAGCACGAGCTCGGCTTGTTTATTAACGAGCCGAATCGAGTCGAGTTCGTGCTAGCTTTTTAATAAAAACTTTACTCGTATTTGATATATACATTTTGTATGTCAGGCATGATACATGTGATTAATGTCAAGATGAAAAAAATAGTTAAATGTTCAATATTAACTAATCTTATGTTATACTTTGTGATATCAAATTATTTAGTTCATAAACTAGTGAAATTTATATTATTTCATAGTATTGAAGCAATCTACGATACATAATTTCTTTTTAAAATTAAAAAAGACATATTTACTCACATAATCTACGTGTTAAACGGGCCAGCTCACGAGTTGAGCTCATCAAGCCACCGTGTCGAGCTAAGCTCGCGAGCTTCGCGACTTGCAAAAGGCTTAGCTCAAACTCGATTCGTTAGTAAACAAACCAAGTTTCGAACGAATTTTTTTCCAAATCGAACGTCAAACCGCTCGTGAGCAGCTCGGCTTATTTGTAGCAATAATTTCAACAAGGGGGAAATGTGGTTGGTATGCAAAATATTGGGCTAGAAATGGTGTGGACTCGTCGTAAGGGCCGAGCCACATGCAAAGGCAGCGCCTGGGCCGCACGATGCGATAAGATGATCTTTATAGATAGGAAAGGGAAACATGCACTGTATTTGCTCTCACACTCATTTTTATTTCCTACCTAATAAAATTATATATTACCAATTATGAAAAATAAATTCTTTGGTTCTATGAACATATAATTATGGATATTTTATTCCCTTATCTTTTAGCAAATTTGCTATTGTAAGTTCCAACTATATATAAGAGTTGAACGTGGAGTTGGGAAAAGCAGTGAAAACAAAATAGTTAGGCAAATTTGCTAATTGTAAGTTCCAAATTTGCTATCATCATTATGGATTCGGGCAAGAGAAGAGTGTTGGTGAGGAGTTTGATATTGGTGCTGCTTGTGGTGACCGTTGGGATGATGATGGAGGTTGCCGCGGCCCAAATATTCATCGATTGCTTCAAGAAATGCCTGAAGGATTGTGAGAGGACGGGCGGAGCAGTTTGTACGCCTTTTTGTGAGGCAGAGTGTCAACCAAAACAGTCGTCATTGATGGACAACAACCACTTATAAGCAAGTTTGATGGTCTTCGTTAAAAATTTACTTAACCTTTTATCTCGTTTCTCCTCTCCAAGGATGCAATGAATTCAATTCAATAATAATAATATTGTTATCATAGTAATACCGATGCCGTTGTTTTGCCCTTTGTCGTTTCGTCATTTATGATTTTATTAATTTTTTGTTATAATTGATAACACTATAACTCACATACATTGCTTCTCATTTAGTATTTTTAACTAAAAAAATAGTGAAGATTATCCAACAAAATAAATAAATCTTAATAAGGAATTAGATTTTCCTTAGTGTGATGCAAGTGTTTCGGTGAAGCATAATATAATCCTCGCGTGGTATTGGATTCAAATACAAGTTAATTTCCGTAACTATATATGGTTTGCTCTCTGAAATGAACCTTTTTCCTGTAATTTCTAACAAAAAGGGGGAGAAATGAGTTCTCAAATTTTTAGATCATTTAACCTCCAACGCAACCCTCTCCAGGAGTTCTCACAGTCGGTGATCCTGGCCTCTCAAATAGACGAGTCACGAGATCTTTCTGTAATTGTTTTGTCATGTCAATTCGATTGAATCTTAAAACTTAAAAGTGTTTTCTCTAGCTTCCAAATTAATTACATTAGGAAAAATATAATTGAAAATTTTTATATTCTCTTTCCTATGGAGAACGAAAAAACATTAGGGCTGGAAATGGATGGACTACCGCAAAGGACGAGTCACAACGAAGGCAGAGCCTGGACCGCACGAGCGCGGGAGGAAAGTCCCAATTATATATTTTTTTTGCATATCATTTTGTGGTATTTGTTTAATAATTCAAAAGAACATATGAATATAGAGACGAAAATGGTCACATGGCAATAATTATATTTTAATGACCATAAAAATGTGTCATTTTTTTATTATATATATATTCAATCACTCTTTTATGGTTTTTTCTGCATTCATTCTCAGACCTTACATTTTTGTGGTAATTGGTGACCTCAACGTTACTCTCCATGAGAATGAGAAGGCGGGTGGCACCCCGTGGAACGCCTCACAATCTATAGGCCTCCGTGATTTTGTTAACGACCTAAGTCTTCAAGATCCTGGATTCCAGGGAGACCAATTTACTAGGACGAACAAACACATGGGCACGACTAATATTCGTCAGTGGCTCGATAGGGCTCTTTGCTTGCAGACTTGGATTGATTGCTTCCCTAAGACTCTTGTCAAACATTTTATGGACCAGGGTTCTGATCATCGGGCTCTATTATTATCTGACAAACACTATGTCCGTAATAGTCGCCCCCTATTCCGGTTTGATGCCCGATGGGCAGACAACCCTGAGGTAAAAGCTATAGTGGCATATGTTTGGCAGGAGAGCATCCATGTGACTCCTATGTATCAGCTTTGGGAAAAACTTAAAAAACTGCGTCATCTGCTCTATGATTGGAGTAGGGCAGGTACCACGAATTCCCTTCGGAACATCAAAACTCTCCAAGCTGAAATAGAGAGAATTAAATCGATATACCCAATTAACTGGGATGAGATACGAGATCTTGAAGTTGAATTAAGCAGACAATGGGAGGCGAAGGAAGTTTATTGGCAACAAAAGTCCAGAGTGAGGTGCTTGAAGAAGGGTGATAAAAATTTGGCATACTATCATACGGTCACACGGGCCCGTAGAAAACAAAATTTTGTGTATGGTCTTCGGAATGAGGAAGGAGATTGGGTCACTGAGGAAAGTGGGAAGGCTAACATAGCCTCGAATTTTTATAAGAACCTTTTCACTTCGGAGAATAAGGTGATGAATATTACTGATCGTGTGGCGGCTCTTCCCATAGCCTAGAGTGTTACCGAAGAATGAATGCTCATTTAACTGCAGAAGTCTTTCCAGGCGAGGTCAAAAAAATGGTCTTCTCTATGGAATCCAAACAGGCACCTGGGTCTAATGAGTTCACGGGGAAGTTCTTCAAAACTTTCTGGATATTGTGGGTAACTTAGTGATTGAAGTTGTTTGCTCTTTCTTTGCAACAAGCAAGCTACTCAGGAGCTTCAATCATACTTGGTTGACCCTAATACCCAAGGTGGAAAATGTAGAAACAATGCGGCAGCTTCGTCCAATCAGTTTGTGCCAATTTGTGATAAAATTATTACCAAAATCATGGCTGAGAGGCTAGCTAGGTTCCTTCCGCAGATTATTTCGGAGGGACAAAATGCGTTTACCCGGGAAAGACAAATAATTGATTATATTCTCTTAGGCCATGAGCTAATGCACTATCTAAAAATCAAAACTCGTTGTAAGAAATGGTACATGGCTTTAAAGGTTGACATGGAAAAGGCCTATGATAGAGTCGAATGGCCCTTTCTACTTGCAATTTTGGAGAAAATGGGGTTTAGCTCAGTTTGGAGAGAGTGGATACAGGAATGTCTCAAATCGACGTAATTTTCTGTCCTTATGAATGGCACCCCTTCGAGGTTCTTCTCTCCATCTAGGGGCCTCCGTCAGGGTGATCCTCTCTCTCCTCTCCTGTTTGTGATATGTACGGAAGGTTTTGCGGTGCTCCTTCACAAGGCCATTTCAGAAGGAAAACTCGAGGGTGTGAAAGTGGCCCCTCGTGCCGCCCGAATCTCGCATTTGTTCTTCGCGGATGATTCTTACTTATTCCTTAGAGGATCTCTTCAGGAATGTGAGAATTTAATTGGGGTTTTGAATGAATATGAAGAGCTGAGTGGTCAAAGGGTGAACTTGGATAAATCGGCAGTCTGTTTTAGCAAGAACATTATTACGTTGGACCAAGAATTCTTGGCTCACATTCTGGGAGTAGGGGCACTTGGTGTGCGTGATAAATATCTGGGATTAGCTATGTTGGTATCCATATCTAAAATGGCAACGTTTTGTTATCTCGAGGAGAAGTTGCTGGCGAAATTACAAGGCTGAAAACAGATAACGTTATCATGGGAGGCCAAGGAAACCCTAATTAAATCGGTTGCGCTTGCTTTGCCTTTGCATATTATGTCCTGTTTCAAGTTGCCTCTTTCTCTTTGCCGACTTTTGGATAAGCATGTTTCCAGATTCTGGTGGGGTGTTGAGGATGGCCAGTCCAGAATCCGGTGGATATCTTGGCGCAATATGTGCCAGAGTTAGCATGAAGGGGGAATGGGGTTTCGTAGATTCGAGCATTTTAATCAAGCTCTACTGGCCAAAATTGGATGGCGAATTCTGTTTGAACCCCAGTCTCTTCTGGCTCAAGTTTATTAGGGTAAGTATTTTCCCAATGGGGCTTTCCTTACGGCTACGGCGCGCTCTCGCCCGTCCTGGGGATGACAAAGTATCCTCTATGCCCGTCAGCTATTAGATTTGGGCTTGAGATGACAAATTGGGAATGGCCAGACGGCCTCTCTGGTTCATTCTAACTGGATTCCTAAATTGCATCCTGATCCCCCAATGTTTAATCCATGGGTACTGCCTCCTGGGGAGGGTCCTTCTATTGTTGAGGTTATATGCCAAGGTGAAGGTCATTGGTGTTATAATAACATTTCTCAATGGTTTGATCCTTCTACCTGCCTGGCCATCAAAGCGATCCCTCTTCCTCGTCAGGATATTCCAGACAAATTGATCTGGCATGCTACGCCTGATGGGGTTTTCTCTGTCAAGTCGGCCTACCATTTTGCAGTCACTTTGGATACAAGGAGGGTCGGTGGAAGTCCATGGCTAGTTGGATGGATAGGGCCAGTTGGATTCGGTTATGGGAAACAAATATCCCACCCACATTGAAGGTTTTTGTCTGGCAAATTTTCAATAGAATCCTTCCAACTACAGAGGCCCTAATTGAGAAGGATGTCCTTGTGCTTCCTAGGTGTCCAGTTTGCTGGGGTGAATCGAAAAATGGAGCACTTGTTCCTTGACTGCCCGGTATCTCGCGTGCTTTGGGATCTTTCAGGGATGGAGCATCTTGGACAGGGTTTGCCTCGGCATACCTTCCCTCTCTTCTTAAAGAAGCTGATGACTCTTATCCACCAACCATCCTTGTTTATGGCCATTATTGCACTGCTGTGAAGGATCTGGCGATCTCATAACTGGGTGGTTTTTGAAGGAAAACAATACAGGCTCTCAGCCTTGATGCGCTAGTTTAATCAACAATATGCGGAGTGGGAAAGTTTGTCGGTGGATCAGGTTATATGTTCTTCTGCCCCTCTGGTACAATAGTGGAGTCTTAGTGGGGCTCCCTTTGCTGTTTGTAAGTGGGATGGAGCAGTTAGGCGTGGGTCTCATTCGGCAGGTGGAATGGTTATTATGAGCCAGGATCGCCAAATCCTTTGGGTTCGGGGCGTCCAGTTCTCTTTCATTGATGTCCCTATGGTGGTAGAATTACTGATGCTTTTTGAGGCCATCCTTTGGTGTCTGGCCCATGGTTTCACAGAGACGCGATTTGAAGGTGATGTGAAAGTAGTCATTGAAAAGATCCATCGGGCTGATAGCAGCGAGAATCGGATGGGCGCGATTCTAGAAGAAATTGTGATGTATTTGGCCAATTATAGTGGATTTGGTGTGCGTTTGTAGGACGGCATAACAATAGGGTAGCCCACTTGGTGTCTCGAAAAGCCCTTTCTTTGTACCCAACTATGTGTCGTGTGTTTGATTTTCAGGCCTGGCTGAATTCCAGGATGTAATTACCTATCTTTTGAATCAATATATGATTATCTTTTGTAAAAAAAAAAAATTCTCAAACCTTACATCAAATTCTTGCAATCTCATCTATTTATCATCTATAGGACAAAAAAATGTCCAGTAAGAGAGGAACCAGTTGGCGAGCGTATGAAGATGAAACCTGTGCAAAGTTTGGGTATCAATATAAGAACATGGATCGGTTGGCATCAATAAAAAGGCCACAAGGTTTTGAGAAATGGTATCGTTGGAACATCAAAGACATGATTCCACAACAACGCATACTATATATTCAATGAAATCGCCAATGAAGATTATCAGCGCTAAGTATAATGCTTGGAAGGGAGTTGTGCAAATGGAAGAGAGGAATCAAACAATGGAATAAACCAAGTTTGGAGAGGGAAGGATCGTTTGACCAAGTTGGAGGTGGCAAAAGTCATATTCCTATGTTGGCATATTTGGAAGGCTCGTTGTTGGGCTATACATGAGCACATTCTGTATTTATCCCTGTCTCCACGTCCCCATTTCGAAGCTCAAGTTGACGAATGGCGGGCCGCTTCTTTCCCACTCGAGTTAGAGCATGGACCAGATCTAGTTACTTCACCTCCTACGGATGGTCGTCGTGGAAATTTAGAACATCAGGTGTTGTCCCTTTAAAGGCATACTTGTTCGCTTTGATTGAGCCATGCGGCCTGCTCTTGGCGGCAGAATTGGCTTTGTAGGCTTTTCTTCTTCTGGTCCAATTCTGTTTGCAATTGTCAAGTATTATCCAAGTATGACAAACTCTTTCCTTGTGGAACTTCTAGCTCTTCATGATGCTATTCGATGGTGCCTAACTCATGTTTTTCATGTGGTTAATTTTTGTGGGGACTATTAATCTCATATTCGACTGGTGGCGACACGTGAGGTGGAGCATGCATTGGGCGGCCCATTTAATCGTGAATCACAACCTCTCATCAGTAGCTCAACTATTTGTCGGTTGTCGCGTCTAATCACGCTGTGTGCTTTAAGTTACCTTTATCACTCCTACTATCTAGGAATGTGTTACCCTGGTTACTTTCTTTTAAGTAACCACCGTGGCTACCAGGGGCGGATACATGGGCCTCTAGGGGTGTTCCGGGACACCCCTAAAATTTGGGGAAACGATTATCCAACTTCCTGTAGTAATTTCGTATGTGTATACAAATATAATTGGTAATCCGGGACACCCTAACATTTGAAAAAATGATTATCCTACCCTCGATAATAGTTTGCTTATGATTAACAAAATATAAGTGGTAGTCCGTGTTATTCCAACCTAGGACACTACTATTATCAAACATATTCTAATTATGTTGCTACAGTAAAACATCATGCAACAGGGTTCTGATGTTGATTTTATGGTTACACGGCAAGTGTTGAAAGAGTCTTTTCTACTTTGAGCTACATTAAGAACAAGGTTAGAAATCGAACAAGGTAAAACATCATTTGTTATTCTATTTTAAACATCATGCAACAGTAAAACGCTATTTCTTTATCCCCAACTATTTTCAATACCTAATAATTAAACTACGTACACGCTACCCTTAATTTTGAATTGATTTTATGGTTACACGGCAAGTGTTGAAAGAGTCTTTTCTACTTTGAGCTACATTAAGAACAAGGTTAGAAATCGAATATGTGATAAGTTCGTGAAGTATTGTCTAGTAGGATATGTAGATTTTTTTTTTGAACAGTGCAGACACGGAGTTTATTTATATTATTTTTTCAAAATATGAATTTTAATTTATTATTTAATAAAAAATTTATACAAATTATACAAGTATGATATTTTTAATATACGAATTATTTAATTTATTATATAATTTAATTTAATTTTGAAGAGGACACCCCTGTGAAAATTTTATGAATCCGCCATTGGTGGCTACCCCTTTTTTGACCATACAGATTATGTGGAACCAATCTGAGGGCCCAGCTTGCTAAAGGGTGTTTTTGGAAAGAACCCACCCAATCACTTCTCACCATTATTGGGGCCCAAAATTAGAGAATTTTTTTCCTTTTCTCACCCTTCCACTTCTTTATCCTTTTCCTTATCAATATCGTTCCCAAAAAGGGGAAGAACACTTTCCATTTTGTAGAAGCTTCTTCATCGCCCCTTGCTGTCCAGGTGTCTTCCGTCGTCCAACATTTTCCATCTCTCTCCGGCGCCGCAGTCTCTCTCCCCGGCCACCTCAGTCATTCTATATGGGCCGACGACTGGTTGTTTCTAGGTTAGTGGTTTGGAGAGGGTACCGGCGACTTTGTTTCGTTTCCAGTTCCTCCCACTCCGACGGAACACAGGGACCGACGGCGTTGTTTTTAGCTCATCTGGCATTCCAGTTTTGTTTCCCACCGCATACGACGTTAATTATAGCTTGCTTCTGCAGGTAATCTGGAATGGTATTATTTACATTGGTAGAGGATTTGCTTTGGTAGCTACCTTGCATTTTGTTTTGGTACTGTTTGCATTATGCTTTGGTAGTTACCTGCATTTTCTTTGGTAGTGTGTGCCAATGCAGTCAAAAGCGCGATTCTACCCAGAAGCGAAAAAGGGGTAAAATCGTAAAGCGTAGAATTAAAGCGTAAAAGCGTAAGTTTTTAACGCATACTGTAAAAGAACTAAAAATATGTTAAGTACGACATATACTATGAAAAATACGAGTGCACAAAATTTAGATAAGTTAATAAATACTTGCAATTCATGTTTAAAGTAGAGCAACTTATAGCCTATTAATAATAAGTTCATAAACATAAATCTTATCAAGAAGCCATCTTCCCCTCCATGCTAATGAATTTGAGAAGAGCCTAGACGGTGAATTAGATTACTTTATTGAAGTTCAGAATGCATCAAAGTATCTGGTATGCATCTTTTAATCTTAAACGTATCATATTATCGATGATTTATTTTTAAAATATACTTTTTACAGTTAATTTCATGAAAATAATACTCATTCGGTGAAGTAAAAGCGTAAAAACGTAAAGCGTTTTAGTGAACTAGAAGCGTAAAAGCGTAAGTTTTTAAGTTTTAAAGCGCAATTTAGTCTGATTTTATACACTAAAGTTTTTACATAGAAACGAAAGCGCTTTGGTGACCTAGAAGCGTAAAATCGTAAGTTTTTAAGTTTTAAAGCGCGATTTTAACTACATTGGTGTGTGCATTATGCTTTGGGTGTTACCTGCATTTGCTTTGGTTTATAGGAGCATTATGCTTTGGTAGTTATCTGCATTTGATTTGGTAGTGTTTATATTATGCTTTGGTAGTTATATGCATTTGCTATGGTAGTGTTTGTGTTGGGCCACATAACTTTAATTATGCTCGCTTTCGACATTCATGTAGATGACACTGGCAAGATGTTCTTTATCGATCTAGAGATAGAGGAGTTGAGAAGGGGGAAGGAGGGTGAGTGGAGGCGATGTGAGGAGAGGGGCAGGGAGGTGAGACTTGAGAGGGTGAGGGGAGGCAGCACAGCGGCCGGAGGGAGGGGAGAGGCGTGGAGGGAAGTTGGGATGGGGCGAAGGAGGGTGAGAGGAGGCCGTGGGCGACCGGCGGGAGGAGATAGGAAACCTTCTTATAATTAGTTTTGATAATTATAAATTCCTAATTATTTACATAATTAAAATGATAGTTTGAATCTACACATAAATATAAGGGAATGTGAAGGAAAAAATTATGCCACGTAAGCCACTGCTGAACAGCCCGCACAAGTCGGATGACCTTAATTTTCTTTTCACGTCTAGGAATTGCGCACTATTTATAATTTAATTAATTAAATAAAAATAGAAACTTTACGGGAAAAGGAAAGAGTTTCTCCACTTTCTCTATCTTCATTGATGCAAAAAACGATCAACCTCCCCTTGCATCTCGATCTCTCCATCTTCAACCCATCTCCGACCACCATTGCGCCAATAAAAATCACGGCAAGAAACCTCTTTTCTTCCCTTTTGGATCCAAAACCCTATATGTCCTTTTTGTTTTCACGAGGGACAAATCCAATTTCTCCAGTCAAGTCTTTGGCTGTCATAAACAAGTAGAGAATTAAGGATCTAGGAGAGGGAAATAGATACTGGAATCCACTATGCATGTTCTCATATGCCTTAAGAATGGTGTAGGAGTTTGGATTACTCTCGATTTATCTCTGCGCCCGCTCTCCGTCCGATCATCCTGTTCTCACCGCGTGGGTTCCAATATTCTTTTTGCGCTTTCGATATGCAGAAGCAGCGACACTATATTCATGGATCTATAAACAAACCCATTGATCACTGGCGAACCTCTGGCAATAATTCATTAAGCACAATACCAGCTCACCTTTCTGAGAGGAACTCTGGGCTCTGCTTCTACCATTATCGCCGGCAATCTCAAAGCTTATCTCACCCGATTGCTGATTTCGTCTTTTTTCCTTTTTCTTACCTATACTTAAACGACACGGGTCTGCTCAAAGGTGTAGTGCTTGGTTGGATATTCCATTGGGCTTTGGACATGGGCTGTACAATTGAGTTATGTCTATTTAATGAGCTCAACTGTATTCCTTTCATTTTTTTACTTTTTATTTTTGGAGAGAAACTCGACAAAATTAAGTATTTTATGAGATTTTGGCTACTTAAAATCTACATTACTTAATGTCAATATAGGGGAAAACAAAATCATATTCTGCCTATAATTGTTTTTTGTCATTGTCGGCACTCACCCAATTTTTCTCATTTTGTATTAATAAAAAACGACATATATTGCTCAAAACTAGGAAAAGAGACAATTAACACGGTGACAAAGAGATTTGAGGAAATCAGGAAATTAAGCATATGTTTTGTCTAGCTTTCAAAAGTATTTTTCGGTTTCAAAAGTTAAAGTAGGGTCAAACATCTCTAAAAACTCTGTTTTTAAAATGACCAAAAGTGCTTTTGTATGACATAAAAGCAGAAGTTTCGATTTGGAGCTTCTGCGAAAAGCTGTTTGGAAAATACAAGATTATCGTTACCTTATTTTAATTTTATTCCAGAAAGATAATTTTCATTCATTTATATCATTTTAAAAATAAAAAAATTATATATTTAATATAAAAGAAATCTAATAATATCTATTTTGACTATTTTTTATTGTTTAGAATTTTTATTCATATTTTATATTATAAGTATTTTATAGTCATTTTACATAACCTCTTATATTAAAAAGCACTTTTAATAGATTTTGAACCAAACACTCTACTGTTTTTTTAGGTACTTCTCTAAAAGCTACAGCCAGAAACTACTTTTGCAAAAGATACAGCAGGGCTAAACTAGCCCTAAAAAAATACAATAAAGAGTTAGTAGCATTTTCTACCTTTCTATTATTGAAAATTAACAAACCTACCTCTTTACTAATTGTTTGCACAAACATAATTCTGATGTTAAAACATAATGAAAATACTATTTCATCTAATTGTGGTCATTAAATTGGATCAAAATATATATATCAAAGTATAAAAAATAAAAATACAAACCAGTTATGTTTATTTTGAATCAATAACAACAAAAAGAAAAGGAATGAAAAGTAAGACAAACAATCAATTTGTAATCTATTTTTAAAATAATTATCCTTTTACGAGTGCAAAATCTCTGATTCACAACCGAGTGCTTTGGAGGAAAATCGTACAAGCAAAAAAAAAAATTTGGGATTGAGTATGAGAAATATCAATCAAAATTAAAAAAAATATATATAAGTAATTCAATTGAAATTATTCAAAATGTGAAAATGTACGTCAAAAGATGGCATTTTCAATGTTAATCATTTTTTATAAAGGAAAAGGAGACAAAAACTATTCCGGCCAAGGGCCGGGCACCAACTAGTTATAATAATAGCAAAGTAACTTTTTTTATCTCTAGTAACCTCGGTGATTATTAACCCTAAGTAACCACCGTAACTCCTCCCTGCCATCTACTATCTAGGGGGAAAATGCCCTTTTCACACAATCATGACAACAAATAATAGCCATAAAAATCCCTCTTCTTCATAGTTATACAAATCAGGTCAATAAATCTTACACCGATAATCCGATATGACATATTACACTCAATTAAACATCCAAGAAACGATATGAAGCATAGGACACCCATTTATTCAAATGCACACTCTCTAAATCTACCATGAGCACGCCGGCGGAACGAATTCCAGAAACCAAATAGCAAGATATTTCTAACAGATCAAAACCTCAAACCCCAAGAACTGCATCGCTCAGAGATTCAATTAGCCGCCATAAGTATAAGCTAGAACAAGCACACAAGCCGTAGTCACCTTAACGCTCCAAATTCCCAAAATCCCGGCAGGCGCCGCCGACGTACCCACCTGAACAACGGGGGCGGCCTCCTCCCCCTCGCCGGCCGGAGCCCCCTTCTTCTTCTTGGGTTTCTCGGCCGCCGCGGGAGTCGGAGCAGGAGCAAGAGGCTTGGCGGCAAAGATATCTACGGGGAGCAACACCTTGTCCACCCTGTAAACCGCCAGCTGATTGTCGGCGTACACATTCCCGGCGACGCTGGTGTTGGTGAGCCCCGTGGTGATGTTGACCGAATCGGAGTACGCGGTCAGATTGAACGACACGCGGCCGCTGGATCCGGCCTCGGTGGCGATCGGGTTGCTGACGGTCTGGAATTGGGCGGAGGAGAGGAAAGTGGGAACGACGTGGAACTTGACGAGCTCGGATTTGGCCTCGTCGGAGAGGGAGTTGAGGGTGCCGGATTTGAGGGAGGAGAAGGCGGAGTCCGACGGGGCGAAGATGGTGGCGCCGTTGTTGGAGTTGTTGAGGAGGGTGAGGAGGTGGCTGTCCTCCTGTGTGGATCGGAGGAGGTGGATGAAGGTGTTGAAGTGGCCGGCTTTTTCGAGGATTTTGGTGACGTTAGTTGGTCCGGCGGGGGCTGGGAGTTGGGTTGCTGCCGGGGTGGATGCTGGTGGTGCTGCTGTGGCGGATTGTGCTGGAGATGATGCAGGGGATTGTCCTGCTGTGGTCTTCGTGAGGCAGAGGAGGAGGAGGCAGAGGAATGCTGCGGCGGAAAACAGAGTGCTCTGTTTTTTCATCATGTTTGATGGGTAGGAAGCTGGAGAAGAGCAATGTAGTAGTAGTAGTAGTAAGAGTGCGGAGGATAATATTGGAGTTTGGAAATGAGAATTTTCGTTGGATGGATTGAGAAGTGGAGGGAGGGAGGTCTGGTTTTTTATAGTGCCTCGAAAAAGATCGAAATCGTCATGGGATCGATTGTCATAGTTAGGGAAGGTGGAGGGTAGTAGTACTACTACTACGTGAATGCAAAGAGATGGAAAGAAATGACATTATGATTATGAATCGGCTGTTCGTATTTGCTTGGAGTTGCAGAATACTCTAAACATATACATACGAAACGAGAATTACAGGACACAAGATTTACGTAGTTCACCAAGTGTGGTTATGTCTACAAAGAGTAGACTACATATTGTGCGTGGAAGCTCGATATGCAGCATCCACACAGATCCTAGACCAAGTTTTGTATAATGCAAAGAGGTGTTGTGTCAGCATCATACAAAGGTAAAAAAAGATGCAAGCTTTCATGTTTAGAGACGTTGCAGCCTGAAGATGGTGCTGCCTCTCTTCACCTGTCTTTCATGTGCAAAAAGAAATGCCATGTTCTGATAACTTGAGCTGCGAGTTCGGTTGTCCCTACTACCAGCCAACCATCACATAATGGAGGATCTGTATAATGCAGCTTTTCAGTTGGGGAGTTGTTTCTGTTGATTGATTATCTGTTGGGACGTTTTAGCTGGAGATTTGAATATTGAAATTCGGAACTTTATTTGCAGCAACTAGAATCTCATTACACACTGTATGCAGGTAACAAACATGCTGAGAGTACCAAGTAAGGAACTTTGCGAGAGCAATAAATGGCAGGCATCATTGGAAGATCAATCGGGCGGAGACGAGATTTACGGAGACAAGATTTGATAGTGATGCCAAAGTGGTAATTGAGAAGATCAATTGGGCTGACACCCGTGATAATCGGTTGAGAGGCATTTTTGAGGAGGTCGTGCATTATCTAGCGATTCATAGTGGACTTAGTGTGCAATTTGTAGATCGACGTAGTAATAGAGTAGTCAACTGTGGCTTTTAAGTTTGAGATGATATTTATTGAATTCATATTGTTTGTGGTGTTTTTAGAAGTTCGAGGTACCAAAATGTAATTAAAAGTAAGAAAAAAATTCGAAATGTCATTTTCCTTAGATTTTGAAGACTGCATATCACAGATTCAGCCAGAGGGTATTCTTTACGGATGAATAAGTCTATTAGACACCGATTCGGGCGGAAAATCTCCGGGGCAATTTTTGCCAGATTCCAAAGGGGTACCATCACCGATTTCGGGCGATTTTTTGGAAATGCCATTTTCGTTGGATTTTGAAGGCGATAAATCACAGAGTCGGGCTTAGGGTACTCTCCACCAACGATGAATTCTAGCAATGGCCGATTGGGTCGGGAATTTGGTCGAATTTTTCCGGAGGGCATTTTCGTGATTTTTAGGCGATTTTTTCGGAATGTCATTTTCCTTAGATTTTGAAGACTGCAGATCACAGATTCAGCCAGAGGGTATTCTTTACGGATGAATAAGTCTATTAGACACCGATTCGGGCGGAAAATCTCCGGGGCAATTTTTGCCAGATTCCAAAGGAGTACCATCACCGATTTCGGGCGATTTTTTGGAAATGCCATTTTCGTTGGATTTTGAAGGCGATAAATCACAGATTCGGGCTTAGGGTACTCTCCACCAACGATGAATTCTAGCAATGGCCGATTGGGGCGGGAATTTGGTCGAATTTTTCCGGAGGGCATTTTCGTGATTTTTAGGCGATTTTTTCGGAATGTCATTTTCCTTAGATTTTGAAGACTGCAGATCACAGATTCAGCCAGAGGGTATTCTTTACGGATGAATAAGTCTATTAAACACCGATTCGGGCGGAAAATCTCCGGGGCAATTTTTGCCAGATTCCAAAGGGGTACCATCACCGATTTCGGGCGATTTTTTGGAAATGCCATTTTCGTTGGATTTTGAAGGCGATAAATCACAGAGTCGGGCTTAGGGTACTCTCCACCAACGATGAATTCTAGCAATGGCCGATTGGGGCGGGAATTTGGTCGAATTTTTCCGGAGGGCATTTTCGTGATTTTTAGGCGATTTTTTCGGAATGTCATTTTCCTTAGATTTTGAAGACTGCAGATCACAGATTCAGCCAGAGGGTATTCTTTACGGATGAATAAGTCTATTAGACACCGATTCGGGCGGAAAATCTCCGGGGCAATTTTTGCCAGATTCCAAAGGAGTACCATCACCGATTTCGGGCGATTTTTTGGAAATGCCATTTTCGTTGGATTTTGAAGGCGATAAATCACAGATTCGGGCTTAGGGTACTCTCCACCAACGATGAATTCTAGCAATGGCCGATTGGGGCGGGAATTTGGTCGAATTTTTCCGGAGGGCATTTTCGTGATTTTTAGGCGATTTTTTCGGAATGTCATTTTCCTTAGATTTTGAAGACTGCAGATCACAGATTCAGCCAGAGGGTATTCTTTACGGATGAATAAGTCTATTAAACACCGATTCGGGCGGAAAATCTCCGGGGCAATTTTTGCCAGATTCCAAAGGGGTACCATCACCGATTTCGGGCGATTTTTTGGAAATGCCATTTTCGTTGGATTTTGAAGGCGATAAATCACAGAGTCGGGCTTAGGGTACTCTCCACCAACGATGAATTCTAGCAATGGCCGATTGGGGCGGGAATTTGGTCGAATTTTTCCGGAGGGCATTTTCGTGATTTTTAGGCGATTTTTTCGGAATGTCATTTTCCTTAGATTTTGAAGACTGCAGATCACAGATTCAGCCAGAGGGTATTCTTTACGGATGAATAAGTCTATTAAACACCGATTCGGGCGGAAAATCTCCGGGGCAATTTTTGCCAGATTCCAAAGGGGTACCATCACCGATTTCGGGCGATTTTTTGGAAATGCCATTTTCGTTGGATTTTGAAGGCGATAAATCACAGAGTCGGGCTTAGGGTACTCTCCACCAACGATGAATTCTAGCAATGGCCGATTGGGGCGGGAATTTGGTCGAATTTTTCCGGAGGGCATTTTCGTGATTTTTAGGCGATTTTTTCGGAATGTCATTTTCCTTAGATTTTGAAGACTGCAGATCACAGATTCAGCCAGAGGGTATTCTTTACGGATGAATAAGTCTATTAAACACCGATTCGGGCGGAAAATCTCCGGGGCAATTTTTGCCAGATTCCAAAGGGGTACCATCACCGATTTCGGGCGATTTTTTGGAAATGCCATTTTCGTTGGATTTTGAAGGCGATAAATCACAGAGTCGGGCTTAGGGTACTCTCCACCAACGATGAATTCTAGCAATGGCCGATTGGGGCGGGAATTTGGTCGAATTTTTCCGGAGGGCATTTTCGTGATTTTTAGGCGATTTTTTCGGAATGTCATTTTCCTTAGATTTTGAAGACTGCAGATCACAGATTCAGCCAGAGGGTATTCTTTACGGATGAATAAGTCTATTAAACACCGATTCGGGCGGAAAATCTCCGGGGCAATTTTTGCCAGATTCCAAAGGGGTACCATCACCGATTTCGGGCGATTTTTTGGAAATGCCATTTTCGTTGGATTTTGAAGGCGATAAATCACAGAGTCGGGCTTAGGGTACTCTCCACCAACGATGAATTCTAGCAATGGCCGATTGGGGCGGGAATTTGGTCGAATTTTTCCGGAGGGCATTTTCGTGATTTTTAGGCGATTTTTTCGGAATGTCATTTTCCTTAGATTTTGAAGACTGCAGATCACAGATTCAGCCAGAGGGTATTCTTTACGGATGAATAAGTCTATTAGACACCGATTCGGGCGGAAAATCTCCGGGGCAATTTTTGCCAGATTCCAAAGGAGTACCATCACCGATTTCGGGCGATTTTTTGGAAATGCCATTTTCGTTGGATTTTGAAGGCGATAAATCACAGAGTCGGGCTTAGGGTACTCTCCACCAACGATGAATTCTAGCAATGGCCGATTGGGGCGGGAATTTGGTCGAATTTTTCCGGAGGGCATTTTCGTGATTTTTAGGCGATTTTTTCGGAATGTCATTTTCCTTAGATTTTGAAGACTGCAGATCACAGATTCAGCCAGAGGGTATTCTTTACGGATGAATAAGTCTATTAGACACCGATTCGGGCGGAAAATCTCCGGGGCAATTTTTGCCAGATTCCAAAGGGGTACCATCACCGATTTCGGGCGATTTTTTGGAAATGCCATTTTCGTTGGATTTTGAAGGCGATAAATCACAGAGTCGGGCTTAGGGTACTCTCCACCAACGATGAATTCTAGCAATGGCCGATTGGGTCGGGAATTTGGTCGAATTTTTCCGGAGGGCATTTTCGTGATTTTTAGGCGATTTTTTCGGAATGTCATTTTCCTTAGATTTTGAAGACTGCAGATCACAGATTCAGCCAGAGGGTATTCTTTACGGATGAATAAGTCTATTAGACACCGATTCGGGCGGAAAATCTCCGGGGCAATTTTTGCCAGATTCCAAAGGAGTACCATCACCGATTTCGGGCGATTTTTTGGAAATGCCATTTTCGTTGGATTTTGAAGGCGATAAATCACAGATTCGGGCTTAGGGTACTCTCCACCAACGATGAATTCTAGCAATGGCCGATTGGGGCGGGAATTTGGTCGAATTTTTCCGGAGGGCATTTTCGTGATTTTTAGGCGATTTTTTCGGAATGTCATTTTCCTTAGATTTTGATGACTGCAGATCACAGATTCAGCCAGAGGGTATTCTTTACGGATGAATAAGTCTATTAAACACCGATTCGGGCGGAAAATCTCCGGGGCAATTTTTGCCAGATTCCAAAGGGGTACCATCACCGATTTCGGGCGATTTTTTGGAAATGCCATTTTCGTTGGATTTTGAAGGCGATAAATCACAGATTCGGGCTTAGGGTACTCTCCACCAACGATGAATTCTAGCAATGGCCGATTGGGGCGGGAATTTGGTCGAATTTTTCCGGAGGGCATTTTCGTGATTTTTAGGCGATTTTTTCGGAATGTCATTTTCCTTAGATTTTGAAGACTGCAGATCACAGATTCAGCCAGAGGGTATTCTTTACGGATGAATAAGTCTATTAAACACCGATTCGGGCGGAAAATCTCCGGGGCAATTTTTGCCAGATTCCAAAGGGGTACCATCACCGATTTCGGGCGATTTTTTGGAAATGCCATTTTCGTTGGATTTTGAAGGCGATAAATCACAGAGTCGGGCTTAGGGTACTCTCCACCAACGATGAATTCTAGCAATGGCCGATTGGGGCGGGAATTTGGTCGAATTTTTCCGGAGGGCATTTTCGTGATTTTTAGGCGATTTTTTCGGAATGTCATTTTCCTTAGATTTTGAAGACTGCAGATCACAGATTCAGCCAGAGGGTATTCTTTACGGATGAATAAGTCTATTAAACACCGATTCGGGCGGAAAATCTCCGGGGCAATTTTTGCCAGATTCCAAAGGGGTACCATCACCGATTTCGGGCGATTTTTTGGAAATGCCATTTTCGTTGGATTTTGAAGGCGATAAATCACAGAGTCGGGCTTAGGGTACTCTCCACCAACGATGAATTCTAGCAATGGCCGATTGGGTCGGGAATTTGGTCGAATTTTTCCGGAGGGCATTTTCGTGATTTTTAGGCGATTTTTTCGGAATGTCATTTTCCTTAGATTTTGAAGACTGCAGATCACAGATTCAGCCAGAGGGTATTCTTTACGGATGAATAAGTCTATTAGACACCGATTCGGGCGGAAAATCTCCGGGGCAATTTTTGCCAGATTCCAAAGGAGTACCATCACCGATTTCGGGCGATTTTTTGGAAATGCCATTTTCGTTGGATTTTGAAGGCGATAAATCACAGAGTCGGGCTTAGGGTACTCTCCACCAACGATGAATTCTAGCAATGGCCGATTGGGGCGGGAATTTGGTCGAATTTTTCCGGAGGGCATTTTCGTGATTTTTAGGCGATTTTTTCGGAATGTCATTTTCCTTAGATTTTGAAGACTGCAGATCACAGATTCAGCCAGAGGGTATTCTTTACGGATGAATAAGTCTATTAAACACCGATTCGGGCGGAAAATCTCCGGGGCAATTTTTGCCAGATTCCAAAGGGGTACCATCACCGATTTCGGGCGATTTTTTGGAAATGCCATTTTCGTTGGATTTTGAAGGCGATAAATCACAGAGTCGGGCTTAGGGTACTCTCCACCAACGATGAATTCTAGCAATGGCCGATTGGGGCGGGAATTTGGTCGAATTTTTCCGGAGGGCATTTTCGTGATTTTTAGGCGATTTTTTCGGAATGTCATTTTCCTTAGATTTTGAAGACTGCAGATCACAGATTCAGCCAGAGGGTATTCTTTACGGATGAATAAGTCTATTAAACACCGATTCGGGCGGAAAATCTCCGGGGCAATTTTTGCCAGATTCCAAAGGGGTACCATCACCGATTTCGGGCGATTTTTTGGAAATGCCATTTTCGTTGGATTTTGAAGGCGATAAATCACAGAGTCGGGCTTAGGGTACTCTCCACCAACGATGAATTCTAGCAATGGCCGATTGGGGCGGGAATTTGGTCGAATTTTTCCGGAGGGCATTTTCGTGATTTTTAGGCGATTTTTTCGGAATGTCATTTTCCTTAGATTTTGAAGACTGCAGATCACAGATTCAGCCAGAGGGTATTCTTTACGGATGAATAAGTCTATTAAACACCGATTCGGGCGGAAAATCTCCGGGGCAATTTT